ACACTGAACAAAAATATAAACACAACAAGTAAAGTGTTGGTCCCATGTTTCATTAGCTGAAATAAAAGATCCCAGATATTTTCCATATGCACAAAAAGCGTATTTCTATCAGATTTTGTGCACAAATTTGTTTACATCCCTGTTAGTGAGCATTTCTCCTTTGCCAAGATAATCCATCTACCTGACAGGTGTGGCATATCAAGAAGCTGATTAAACAGCATGATCATTACACAGGTGCACCTTGTTCTGGGGACAATTAAAAGGCCACTTTAAAATGCACAGTTTTGTCACACAACACAATGCCACAGATGTCTCAAGTTTTGAGGGAGCGCACAATTGGCATGCTGACTGCAGGAATGTCCACCAGAGCTGTTGCCAGAGAATTGAATGTTTTCTACCATAAGCCGTCATTTTTGAGAATTTGGCAGTACGTCCAACCGGCCTCACAACCGCAGACCACATGTATAGTGTGGAGTGGGAGAGCGGTTTGCTGATGTCAACATTGTGAACAGAATGCCCCATGGTGGCAGGTGGGCATAAGCTATGGACGACGAACACAATTGCTTTTTATCGATGGCAATTTAAATGCACAGAGATACCGTGATGAGATCCCGAAGACCATTGTGAGGCCCATTTTTTTTTAAAGGTGTCTGTGACCAACAGATGCATATCTGTATTCCCAGTCATGTGAAAATCACAGATTAGGGCCTAATGAATTGATTTCAATTGACTGATTCCCTTATATGAACTGTAACTCAGTAAAATCTTTGAAATTGTTGCATGTTGCGTTTATATTTTTGTTCAGTATAAATCGTCATGTCCCACTATGTTTGACCTCCCAAGAGACGTGGTTGCAATAAATAGACGGCTTGTACTATTAGTTTGTTGCCTTTTAGCCCCACCTAGTGAGTGGTCACAATATAGATATTCTAATGGCCAAAAAAACAAGCTTGGGCTATTTCTTTGAGAGAACACAAATACATGTAACTGCCAAAATAAAGGAAACACCAACGTAACATGTCTTAATAGGGCGTTGGGCCACCACGAGTCAGAAGAACAGTTTAAATGCGCCTTGGCGTAGATTCTCCAAGTGTCTGGATCTCTATTGGAGGGATGAGACACCAATCTTTCACAATAGATTTGATAATTTGGTGTTTTGTTGATGGTGCTGGAAAACGCGGTCTCAGGCGTCGCTCCGGAATCTATCATAAGTGTTCAATTGGGTTGAGATCTGGTGACCTTAGACGTCCGTGGCATATGGGTTAACATAGTTTTCATGCTCATCAAACCATTCAGTGACCACTCGTGCCCTGTGGATGGGGGACATTGTCATGGTCAGATCATTGCCATGGTAGCAAAAAATTATGACCAGACCCTAAGCATGATGGGATGTTCATTGCTTATTTAACTCAGGAACCACACCTGATACTGATTCAATATACTTTGTAGCCTTCATTAACTCAAGCGTTTGCATTATATTGCCAGTTACTCATGTGTGTAAGAACATTTGTAACATTTGTTCAACATGAATGAAAAATAAAACAATAAAATACACTACATGACCAAAAGTATGTGGACACCTGCTCGTCGAACATCTCATTCCAAAATCATGGGCATTAATATGGAGTTGGTCCCCCCCTTTGCTGCTATAACAGCCTCCACTCTTCTGGGAAGGCTTTCCACTAGATGTTGGAACATTGCTGCAGGGACTTGCTTCCATTCAGCCACAATAGCATTAGTGAGGTCGGGCACTGATGTTGGGCGTTTAAGCCTGGCTCGCAGTCGACGTTCCAATTCATCCCAAAGGTGTTAGATGAATTGAGGTCAGGGCTCTGTGCAGGCCAGTCAAGTTCTTCCACTCTGATCTCGACAAACCATTTCTGGCTAAAACAGGAAAGGGCCTTCCCCAAACTGTTGCCACAAAGTTGGAAGCACAGAATTGTCTAGGATGTCATTGTATGCTGTAGCGTTAAGATTTCCCTTCACTGGAACTAAGGGGCCTAGCCCGAACCATGAAAAACAGCCCCAGACCATTATTCCTCCTCCACCAAACTTTACAGTTGGCACTATGCATTCAGGCAGGTAGTGTTCTCCTGGCATTCGCCAAACCCAGATTCGTCCGTCGGACTGCCAGATGGTGAAGCGTGTTTCATCACTCCAGAGAACGTGTTTCCACTGCTCAAGAGTCCAATTGCGTTGAGCTTTACACCTCTCCAGCCGACGCTTGGCATTGCACATTGTGAACTTAGGCTTGTGTGCGGCTGCTCAGCCATGGAAACCCATTTCATGAAGTTCCCGGTCAACAGTTATTGTGTTGACGTTGCTTCCAGAGGCAGTTTGGAACTCGGTTGTGAGTGTTGCAACCGAGGACAGACAAGTTTTACGCCCTACGCGCTTCAGCACAGGACGGTCCTTTCTGTGAGCTTGTGTGGCCTACCACTTCGCGGCTGACATTTCCACTTCACAATAACAGCACTTACAATTGACCGGTGCAGCTCTAGCAGGGCAGAAATTTGACTTGTAGGAAAGGTGCCACGTTGAAAGTCACTGAGCTCTTCAGTAAAACCATTCTACTGCCAATGTTTTTGTCTATGGAGATTGCAGGGCTGTGTGCTTGATTTTATACACCTGGCAGCAACGGGCGTGGCTGAAATAGCTGAATCCACTAATTTGAAGGGGCGTCCACATACTTTTGTATATATAGTGTATGTACTGCCGAATGATGTATACTGTATAAACCCTGGATTGCTGATGCTATGTATTGGCCATTGAGAGGCTTTGAAGCCACAGTATTGGCACTCCCCAGTAGGAGCAGTCCTCCTTAAGAATGAATGGAATTCTACAGTATTTCAGTTAAATGTTTCAAGGACAAAATTACATGTATTTAAGTATTTTTGTTGTAGCGCGGACTGTAAAATTAGAACTTTCTAACCCTATTTTAAAAGTATGCATTAATGTGTCTGTAATAGAATAAACGTGGCAAAAACAAATTCTACGGCGTCCAAACTATTTTTACACTGGTGGGGGATCGAGGCACGTCGGCTTCGAAACAGAGGCCCCTGTTAGTAATCTAGTGTATATATACAGTGGCTTGCGAAAGTTTTCACCCCCCTTGGAATTTTTCCTATTTTGTTGCCTTACAACCTGGAATTAAAATTGATTTTTTTTGGGGGGGGGGGTTTGTATAATTTGATTTACACAACATGCCTACCACTTTGAAGATACAAAATATTATTTTTTGTGAAACAAACAAGAAATAAGACAAAAAAACAGAAAACTTGAGCCTGCGTAACTATTCATCCCCCCAAAGTCAATACTTTGTAGAGCCACCTTTTGCAGCAATTGCAGCTGCAAGTCTCTTGGGGTATGTATCTATGAGCTTGGCACATCTAGCCACTGGGATTTTTGACCATTCTTCAAGGCAAAACTGCTCCAGCTCCTTCAAGTTGGATGGGTTCCGCTGGTGTACAGCAATCTTTAAGTCATACCACAGATTCTCAATTGGATTGAGGTCTGGCCTTTGACTAGGCCATTCCAATACATTTAAATGTTTCCCCTTAAACCACTCAAGTGTTGCTTTAGCAGTATGCTTACGGTCATTGTCCTGCTGGAAGGTGAACCTCCGTCCCAGTCTCAAATCTCTGGAAGACTGAAACATGTTTCCCTCAAGAATTTCCCTGTATTTAGCGCCATCCATCATTCCTTCAATTCTGACCAGTTTCCCAGTCCCTGCTGATGAAAAACATCCCAACAGCATGATGCACTGTGGGGATGGTGTTCTTGGGGTGATGAGAGGTGTTGGGTTTGCGCCAGACATGGCGTTTTCCTTGATGGCCAAAAAGCTCAATTTTAGTCTCATCTGACCAGAGTACCTTCTTCCATATGTTTGGGAAGTCTCCCACATGGCTTTTGGCGAACACCAAACGTGTTTGATTATTATTTTCTTTAAGCAATGGCTTTTTGCTGGCCACTCTTCCGTAAAGGCCAGCTCTGTGGAGTGTACGGCTTAAAGTGGTTCTGTGGACAGATACTCCAATCTCCGCTGTGGAGCTTTGCAGCTCCTTCAGGGTTATCTTTGGTCTCTTTGTTGCCTCTCTGATTAATGCCCTCCTTGCCTGGACCGTGAGTTTTGGTGGGCGGCCCTCTCTTGGCAGGTTTGTTGTGGTGCCATATTCTTTCCCTTTTTTAATAATGGATTTAAATGGTGCTCCGTGGGATGTTCAACGTTTCAGATATTTTTTTTTCATAACCCAACCCTGATCTGTACTTCTCCACAACTTTGTCCCTGACCTGTTTGGAGAGATCCTTGGTCTTCATGGTGCCGCTTGCTTGGTGGTGCCCCTTGCTTAGTGGTGTGGCAGACTCTGGGGCCTTTCAGAACAGGTGTATATTTACTGAGATCATGTGACAGATCATGTGACACTTGCACACAGGTGGACTTTATTTAACTAATTATGTGACTTCTGAAGGTAATTGGTTGCACCAGATCTTATTTAGGGGCTTCATAGCAAAGGGGGTGAATACATATGCACGCACCACTTATCCGTTATTTATTTATTTCGAATTTTCTGAAACAAGTTATTTTTTTCATTTCACTTCACCAATTTGGACTGTTTTGTGTGTGTCCATTACATGAAATCCAAATAAAAATCAATTTAAATTACAGGTTGTAATGCAACAAAATAGGAAAAACGCAGAGGGGGATGAATACTTTTGCAAGGCACTGTAAATCATTGGTACTTCCAAGGGAAATTTACACTAAACTGTGCACATGTATAACCCTACCACGGATCTGATCAATTTACATATGTTACGTGACAGTGGCGATTAACATTGAGATAGATTTGACTTGTTACACATAGACAAGAGAAAAGGTTTACTCCAAAGTTGATGTTTATTGAGCTTTAAGAGCAGAATGTGAATTAAATTGAGCTGGGTTGGTGGTGATTCCGGATCAGTGCCTTGGGTTCTGTCTTTCTGCTCGATGACCATGTTCCCTTTCAACCCATGATCTGCAGAGGAAAGGAAAGACAATTAATTAGACCAGGATTCAGACATTTGCCCAAAATACAGTCAGTATTGTTGCTGAGACGGACACCAATTTGACTAATTAAAATGTGCATAACAATGCCATAGACAAGCTTTGAGAGAAATGAAGTAAATGTTCTCCTCCTGTCCCCTAGCTATACAGTACGTACCCCGTTCATCCAGCTGATGTAAGCAGACACACGGGTGAAGACGGTGGGCTTGCGAATGGCGTTGCATCCAGAAGAGGACACGAAGCTTGCCACTCCGTGGACGTAGTACTGACCGTTGACCTGGCAGTTCAGGGGGCCGCCAGAGTCTCCCTAGAACGATGGAGAGGGAGAGCTTCACCAGGGAAAGATACTTACAACACATCAATTATTTGTTTATAAATATGTAAGCAATGACATCATTTAAATTATAAAGAAAATAAACTACATTTAATTAATCCAAAAACATGTTGTAGTGTCCTCAGTAGTGCCCCACTAAGAGAACAGGTAAGATGTTAGAACACAAAAATAAAAATAAATAAAAAGATGTTAGAACGAGAGAGGCAGGGTCGCAGGTTCAAACCCTGGAACAACCAACATTTAAACAAATTATTCCATTACACTATTCTTACATTGCATCCAGCGTTGGCTCCGCCTCCGGCGCAGACCATGGAGGTCTTGATAGTAGATCCCCACCAGCCAGAGCTGGAGCAGGTCTGGTGGTCAACGCTGGGCAGCAAAGCCTGCTTCAGGCTGTTGGACAGAGAACCGCCGGCTATAGGAAGGACAGGGGACACGTTAGAGAAGATAACAGGATGGGGATCATAGTGCATACGGCTAGATAAACGTATAGAAAAAAGAGAGACAACTATAAACTAGACACAAATATAAGTCTACAAATATTAACCCAAAAACCATTTCCCAGTTCGGTTACTGTTAACTACTTATGCAACTCACTGGAGGTGCGTCCCCATCCGGTGATGTAGCAGGGGTTGTTGTTGGGCAGGATCTGGTCAGATGGAGGCAGAGCAGCCAGCTGGACAGCAGAGTTCAGGGAAGCCTCGGTGGACAGACGCAGCAGGGCGATGTCATATCTGAGGGTTAAAGGAACACAATGTCAGATCTGAGGGTTAAAGGAACACAATGTCAGATCTGAGGGTTAAAGGAACACAATGTCAGATCTGAGGGTTAAAGGAACACAATGTCAGATCTGAGGGTTAAAGGAACACAATGTCAGATCTGAGGGTTAAGGAACACAATGTCTCTGAGGGTTAAGGAACCAATTGTCAGATCTGAGGGTATAAATGATCACAATTCAATCTGAGGCTTAAGACCTCTGTTCATTGAGGATTAAGGACACCAATGTCAATCTGAGTTAAATGGGAAACATTCCAGATACTGTAGTTATAAGGAACACAATGTCATATCTAGGGTTTAAAGGACCATCGATCTAGGGTAAAGGAACACAATGTCAGATCGAGGGTTAGAAGTGATCAACAATGTCGATCTGAGTTTAGAACACAATGTCAGATCTGAGGGTTAAAGGAACACGTCCAGAAGGCTTCATTTTCACCTCAGGTCATAATATTCCTTCATCCTAACCTTCCTCCTGTTCTGTGGCACTTCACCCCCTAGCACATCTACTTAATACTGGGATAATTCTCCAGATAACTGTTATTATAACCGGACCACAGAACACTTATTTTTAAAGATCTAATAAAACGGCACAACATGGTATCATTAGAACGTGTCAAAATAGTGACATTTAACTAGTGTAGCTAAATTCAAAACCAATCACTGACGCGATTTTAAACTTCAACTAAAATAACAATTGATTACAAATGAGTTCCGTACCCTGCAGCGACGTTGTTGGAGTTCCACCCGTTGTGGATGTAGACCTTGCTGACAGTCATGATCTGTTCCTTACCCTCGTTGCTGTTCAGGTGGTGGTCTCCCAGAACCACACGCCAAGTCCTCTGGCTGAAGACACACACAATAATACATTGGTCACTTAGGAAGTCACTTAGGAAGTCAGTTAGGAAGTCACTTAGGAAGTTATACAACATACATCCATTCTATAGCGATCTTTAAAGTTGGAATCTGTCGCGGTGAAACTGCCACGTATGTTAGGCCTACTCTAAACTACAAACAAAAAAACTATCAATTTATAAACTTTTAAAACGGTACGTACCCAATAATACATTGGTCACTTAGGAAGTTACATCCATATCTTAAATCTTAATTCGAACTCGCTGTTTATCTTGTATAATGTATTTGTATCTGTCATGTGTTGTTTATTTGTGTAACGTTAACTCTTGGAAAAATGTAGCTATTCTACGTCTTCCTTTGTCCTACCTGTCCACACAGTGAGCAGCAGTCATGACCCATCCTCTCCTGATCAGACTACCTCCACATGTGTGGTAGTAGGAGCTGCCAGACAAATACTGGAGAGAGATCTGAGGACAAGAGAGCGAGAGGGGTGAGAGAGAGAGAGAGAGAGGAGAGAGAGAGGAGAGAGAAGAGAGAGAGAGCAGGAGAGAGAGAGAGAGAGTAGAGAGAGGAGAGAGAGAGGTGATGAGAGAGAGAGAGAGAAAGAGAGAGAAGAGAAAGAGAGAGAGAGCAAGAGAGAGAGAGAGTACGAGATGAGAGGAGCCGAGAGAGAGAGAGAGAGAGAGAGAGAGAGAATACTTGACCACTGTGACTGACCCAAACTTAAGGAAAGCTTTGACTATGTACAGACTCATGAGCATAGCCTTGCTATTGAGAAAGGCCGCCGTAGGCAGACCTGGCTCTCAAGAGAAGACAGGCTATGTGCACACTGCCCACAAAATGAGGTGGAAACTGAGCTGCACTTCCTAACCTCCTGCCAAATGTATGACCATATTAGAGACACATTTTCCCTCAGATTACAGCGATCCACAAAGAATTCGAAAACAACCCAATTTTGATAAACTCCCTTATCTACTGGGTGAAAAACCACAGTTGTGCCATCACAGCCTGACAGATTTGTTACCTGTTGCCACAAGAAAGGGCAACCAGTGCAGAACAAACACCATTGTAAATACAACCCATATTTATGTTTATTTATTTTCCCATTTGTACTTTAACTATTGCACATTGGTACAACACTGTATATATACATTATATGACATTTGAAATGTCTTTATTCTTTTGAAATTCTGAGTGTAATTGTTTACTGTTAATATTATTGTTTATTTTCACTTTGTTTACTATCTACTTCATTGATTTGGCAATGTTAACATACGTTTCCCATGCCAATAAAGCCCTAAATTGAAATTGAAATTGAATTGAGAGAGAGAGAGGTGAAAGGAGGATGTTAAAGATGAGGAGATTCAATAGCTGAAGGGAGGAGAGGATTAGAACAAAAAAAAGGTTTGTCACTTTTTAAAAGACTGAGTTGTTGCTCACCAGACCTGGGATAACCAGAGGGTGCTCACCAGACCTGGGATAACTAGAGGGTGCTCACCAGACCTGGGATAACCAGAGGGTGCTCACCAGACCTGGGATAACCAGAGGGTGCTCACCAGACCTGGGATAACCAGAGGGTGCTCACCAGACCTGGGATAACCAGAGGGTGCTCACCAGACCTGGGATAACCAGAGGGTGCTCACCAGACCTGGGATAACCAGAGGGTGCTCACCAGACCTGGGATAACCAGAGGGTGCTCACCAGACCTGGGATAACCAGAGGGTGCTCACCAGACCTGGGATAACTAGAGGGTGCTCACCAGACCTGGGATAACCAGAGGGTGCTCACCAGACCTGGGATAACTATAGTTTTAACTCTGCGTTGTGGAAAGTAACTATTCTTCTGGTGAACAAATAGTAATTTGGGAGGTGATAACTATCTGAATACACATCCCAAAAAATTACTACTTTTCTAAACTATTTGAATACAGACCTGAGAAAGCAACTTTATATATATATATATATATATATATATATATATTTGAATACAGATCTCAGAAAGTAAGTACTTTTTTTAAACTATTTGAATACACATCCCAAAAAATGACAACTTTTAAAAACTATTTGAATACAGACCTGAGAAAGCAACTTTATATATATATATTTGAATACAGATCTCAGGAAGTGACTACTTCTCTGAAACTATTGATTGGATTGGCTGTCTTCAACTAATGGCAGGGCTGTATTTGCAGGGCTGTATTTGCAGGGCTGTATTTGCAGAGCTGTATTTGAAGGGCTGTATTTGCAGGGCTGTATTTGCAGGGCTGTATTTGCAGGGCTGTATTTGCAGAGCTGTATTTGAAGGGCTGTATTTGCAGGGCTGTATTTGCAGGGCTGTATTTGCAGGGCTTATTTGCAGGGCTTGTGCAGGGCGGTGCAGGCTGTGTTGCAGGGTGTATTGCAGGTTATTTGCATGGGCGATTGCAGGGTGCTATTTGAAGGCTTATTGGAGGCTGTCTTCAGGACTTATTGCAGGGCTGTATTTGCAGGGCTGTATTTGCAGGGCTGTATTTGCAGGGCTGTGTTTGAAGGGCTGTATTTGCAGGGCTGTGTTTGCAGGGCTGTATTTGCAGGGCTGTATTTGCAGGGCTGTATTTGCAGGGCTGTATTTGCAGGGCTGTATTTACAGGGCTGTATTTGCAGGGCTGTATGTGGAACGGCATGTTGCAGATAGAAATACAGTAAATAGAGCACACCCAATCTCCTATTCCAATCTATCTGACAGTCATATTGGATCTACACAATACAATTTCTATCTGAACATTCTGTAAATGTCCATTCTCCTGAATGTCCATTGCCCCATGTGTACATAATCAAGTCAAACCAATTAACCAAGGATATTTTGTACAGATAAGTATAAATAAGTTGTGATGCTCAACTACTGTATGACTCTTTCAACATGCCACTGAAAGGTTGAAACGCTGCAATTAATTTTATAATACCTGAAAATACTGCAGAGTACTTCAATGCCATTTGCTAACATTGCAAACAGCAAGTTGGATGCTTAGCAAAAACAACTCCGAAACTCTTTGTCCATCTGAGGGTACGTTTTCTTGTTTCAAACACACACTATACCATCTTTAAAGGGATAGTTTAGTACGAATACAAAACTAACATGATATTCTCCACCTTGGCTGTAGTTGATTCAAGAAGACAGTTTTGGGATATTTAGTTTCCTTTCGACACTTAGTAGTCATATTTTGTTACTGTTAGCATTCTCAGTAACACATAACATTAAACTGTTCTTGTGCCTGTGTAATACAAATCTAATTCTTTTGGAGCAATATTTTATTACCATGTTGTTACAGTAATACTTTGGTAATTGCATTTTAATTGCATAGCAATGAGCTGAGAGTTAGTAACTACAGTACACAAGAGGAATATTGACCGTTCCTTATTCCACTTGTGATAACTCCAGTATTATGCAATTCTCAAGCAATTTCCAAAGTGGTATTTGATATTTTATTAGGATCCCCATTAGCTGTTGCGAAAGCAGTAGCTACTCTTCCTGGGGTCCACACAAAACATTACATAATACAGAACATTAATAGACAAGAACAGCTCAAGGACAGAACTACATCAATTTTTTAAAAGGCACACGTAGCCTACATATCAATACATACACACAAACTATCTAGGTCAAATAGGGGAGAGGCGTTGTGCCGTGAGGTGTTGCTTTATCTGTTTGTAACATGTAAAGCAACACCCGTGTAACAACAATGTTGCTAGCGCAATAAATCACACAGCTACTACACATGTATAAGAACTGGATGTCAAGTGTTACTGCATTATCTTATGTCTCACGCATTATCAAAATATATTTGTTATTCATTTTGAAGATGCGAAAGTGGTCCACTCTAATGCTGAGGTGATTCCGTGTCCCTCGTGTATTTCATTATTTACTAAAGGCTATATTAAGATAATATCTAGCCCTCCAAACCATGTGCTAATGATCATATATTTACACTAATTCAATCAACTGTTGTAGTTTTTGGTTCTTCATCAAATATTTGGCAGCCATCAATTACATATTTTTTTTTTGGGGGGGGGGGGGGGGGGGGGGGGGGGGGGGGGGGGGGTTTCAAATCACTTGCAAATACCTTCAAATATTATTTGTTTTTCCGAGACCTGTATTTCAATATCAAAGAAAACAATTGCATTTTAGTTGAAACTCTATATAAAGTACACTGAGTGTACAAAACATTAGGAAAATCTGCTGTGGGAAACACTGGAGTCAACACTGGCCAGCATCCCTGTGGAACGCTTTCAACACCTTGTAGAGTCCATGCCCCGGCGAATTGAGGCTGTTCTGAGGGCAAAAGGGGGTGCAACTCAATATTAGGAAGGTGTTCTTAATGTTTTGTACACTCAGTGTATATTTGACTACCTTGAGTATTTGAAAAGTTAGAATTTTCAAATAAACTACAAAATACAACTATTTTCCGCCTAGGTCTGATGCTCACAGTTTTATTCAAGTAACATCTCTCAACAGTAATATTTTTCTTGCCTGGCCCCAGATCTGTTTGTATCATAGCCAACTCCTCTGACAGCGGAGTATCGACGAGTTGGCTGAAGCACATTTAGTACAGGCCTGGGATCAGGCTAATGTTTTACCTGCCAGGGCCAGGAGTTGGGTTGGGCGACCTCACCACCCACAACTCTCTGCTCAGGAACATCTTCCAGGTATCTGGGCTGCGGCACCAGATCCACAGCCAGCACTGCAGGAGATTACAGGACAGAAACACACAGCTTAAAGTAGATTTCTTCTGGATGCTGTACATACTCAAAGAGATAGAGAGAGAGAAAGAGAGAAAATGGAGAGAGAGAAAGGGAGTCTGAATAAGAAAAGAGAGGGAATGAGAGTGAACGAGGGGGGAAATATAAAGGCAGACAGAGAGAGTGTCCGGAAGAAATTCAGTTCTTACCCAGGGCTGCGAGAGCGCTCAACAGGACAAACCTCAGCATGTTTTCAGTCTGTTAGTGTCAGTCTGTCCTTATGGAATATTCCTGTCCCTGTTTTATACCTTCGGGTGGCATGACACCCCACCTGACCCCCTCCTGTCTGGTCTGGATCGACCAGGGTGTAGGGGTGCGTCCCAAATCACACCCTATTCTGTGCACTTTGTGGGAATAAAATGTAATTTGGGACGTAGGTGTGCTGTACTTTCAGATTGGCAACAGAGGGTGTAGAATGGAACTGCTGCAGCTGTTATTATTTGCACAAGATAAGCAAAAAGGCAAACAAAAATACTCGCATGAAAAAACAAAATGAAGAGTCGAGGGTTAAAATCTTGACAAAACACATTGGAGCCTTTATTGAAGTGTACAGAGTATTTCAAACATCTTATTAAAATTAATCTTTGATCTCCAACACCATTAAAACAGTCATATTTTCCAATAATTAAATAAGATAAGGCTATGATTCTGGGAAAATCCACTGTACAGTAATACAGCTGGATCCATAACCCTAACCCAGGTAGTGTACAGTATACGCGGATCCGCTAACCCTAACCCAGGTAGTGTACAGTAATACAGCTGGATCCGCTAACCCTAACCCAGGTAGTGTACAGTAATACAGCTGGATCTGCTAACCCTAACCCAGGTAGTGTACAGTAAATACCAGAGTGTGATCTGCTAACCTAACCCAGGTAGTGTACAGTTACAGCTGGATCCGCTACCCTAACCAGAGTGTACAGTATACAGCTGAGCTAACCCTAACCCAGGTAGTGTACAGTAATACAGCTGGATCCGCTAACCCTAACCCAGGTAGTGTACAGTAATACAGCTGGATCCACTAACCTAACCCAGGTAGTGTACAGTAATACAGCTGATCGTACCAGGTAGTGACAGAATACTGGAACCAACCAGGTAGTGTACAGTAATACAGCTGGAATAACCTAACCGGTAGTGTACGTAATCAGCTGATCGCTAACCCTAACCCAGGTAGTGTACAGTAATACAGAGGATCTGCTAACCCTAACCCAGGTAGTGTGTGTACAGTAATACAGCTGGATCCGCTAACCTAACCAGGTAGTGTACAGTAATACAGCTGGATCCGCTAACCCAACCCAGGTAGTGTCAGTTAACAGCGTAATCTGCTAACCCTAACCCAGGTAGTGTACAGTAATACAGCTGGATCCGCTAACCCTAACCCAGGTAGTGTACAGTAATACAGCTGGATCCGCTAAACCCTAACCCAGGTAGTGTTACAGTCAATACAGCTGGATCCGCTAACCCTAAACCCCTAGGTAGTGTACAGTAATACAGCTGGATCCGCTAACCCTAACCCAGGTAGTGTACAGTAATACAGCTGGATCCGCTAACCCTAACCCAGGTAGTGTACAGTATACAGCTGGATCCGCTAACCCTAACCCAGGTAGTGTACAGTAATACAGCTGGATCCGCTAACCCTAACCCAGGTAGTGTACAGTAATACAGCTGGATCCGCTAACCCTAACCCAGGTAGTGTACAGTAATACAGCTGGATCCGCTAACCCTAACCCAGGTAGTGTACAGTTAATACAGCTGGATCCTGCTAACCCTAAACCCAGGTAGTGTACAGTAATACAGCTGGATCGCTAACCCTAACCCAGGTAGTGTACAGTAATACAGCTGGGATTCCGCTAACCCTAACCCAGGTAGTGTACAGTAATACAGCTGGATCCGCTAACCCTAACCCAGGTAGTGTACAGTAATACAGCTGGATCCGCTAACCCTAACCCAGGTAGTGTACAGTAATACAGCTGGATCCGCTAACCCTAACCCAGGTAGTAATCAGTGGATCAGTAACCCTACCAGCTAGGTACAGTTACAGGTAGTGTACAGTAATACAGCTGGATCCGCGAACCCTAACCCATGTATTGTACAGTAATCCGCTGGATCCGCTAACCCTAACCCATGGTAAGTGGACGAGTAAGACAGCTGGATCCGCTAACCCTAACCCAGGTAAGTGTACCAGTCATACAGTGGTCTGCTAACCCTAACCCGGTAGTGTACAGTATACAGGGGGGATCCTAACCTAAACCCGAGGCAGTGTACAGTAATACAGCTGGATCTGCTAACCCTAACCCAGGTAGTGTACAGTAATACAGCTGGATCCGCTAACCCTAACCCAGGTAGTGTACAGTAATACAGCTGGATCGCTAACCCTAACCCAGGTAGTGTACAGTAATACAGCTGGATCCGCTAACCCTAACCCAGGTAGTGTACAGTAATACAGCTGGATCCGCTAACCCTAACCCAGGTAGTGTACAGTAATACAGCTGGATCCGCTAACCCTAACCCAGGTAGTGTACAGTAATACAGCTGGATCCGCTAACCCTAACCCAGGTAGTGTACAGTAATACAGCTGGATCGCTAACCCTAACCCAGGTAGTGTACAGTAATACAGCTGGATCCGCTAACCCTAACCCAGGTAGTGTACAGTAATACAGCTGGATCTGCTAACCCTAACCCAGGTAGTGTACAGTAATACAGCTGGATCCGCTAACCCTAACCCAGGTAGTGTACAGTAATACAGCTGGATCCGCTAACCCTAAGCCAGGTATCTGAGGCTACGGCCTAGACCTTGGACAGTGGGATAACGGTGGGACAGAACACAGGTGGTTACCTGCTGCCACCCTGATGTTGTACAAACACCTACCAGACAGGAAGGTTTTCCAGAAATCCTGTGTGCTGGATTCCCTCCTAGCTTATTCTCTCTTGATTCCAGGAATCCTCCAACCGGGATTTCGGGAAAACTGTGGCATTTTGGGGAAAGTTAGATAGGTCAGGTGGGGTGTTCTCAGACTTCCCAAGTCCAGAGGGTATAAAACAGGGGCAGGAATATTCCATAAGGACAGACTGACACTAACAGACTGCAAACATGCTGAGGTTCGTCCTGTTGAGCGCTCTCGCAGCCCTGGGTAAGAAATTACCATCTCTATACAAACTCTCTCTCCTTGAGACTCTCTCTCTACCTCTCTCTCTCGTGCTTTGACACACTCAGAGACGCAAAGTATTTATTCACCCAGCTGATTGAGACTAGATTTAGATTTTATTAGGATCCGACGGCAATGGCAACAGCTATTCTTCCTGGGGTCCGACACATACAGAAAACGACATTACAAACAAAAATACTTTACAATTGACATACATTTAAAAACATTAACATAGACGTTACAGACTTACGTGCATAAATAAATGACTACATACAGTATTGATATGTCTTAACTAGGTTAACTAGGTCAAAAAGGGGAGAGACCAGTGGACCGCAAGGTATGAACGGGGGTTGGAAAAGCTAGCTTCCTACAATTCCACACATATTGTTATTGGGCAAAGACAAAAAATGTGCAGTTTTATAGCTAATCTCATGCTAAACTGCCTTCAGAAAGTATTCACACCCCTTGACTTTTTCCAGTGCTGTCTGAGAATCTGGTGCCCCAGCCCAGATACCTAGAAGATGGAGCTGAGGAGAGGGTTGTGGGTGGCGAGGTCGCCCAGCCCAACTCCTGGCCCTGGCAGGTAAAACATTATCCTTCTCATAGTCTCTCGTAGCCTGGAGGAACCAGCCTGATTGCTGCGATCACCATTCTGTGCAGTAAAACAGGCTGGTTCCACCAGTGAAGTCTCCTGTGACAGCCTAGCTGATTTGGATCTGGGTGTCAACATTAGCCTGCCGCTCCCAGAACTTTCTGTGCTTCAGCCAGTTCCTCTGTACTAGAGGAGTTGGCCATGGGACCTGGGATCCAGCAAGGATCAGCTGCACCTGATAGTTTCATACGATGAAGAAACTAACTTTTCGGTACATATTTTTTGTTCTAATACTCTCCTCCCTTCTTTAACATCCTCCTCTCACCCCCCTCTCTCACCCCCCCCCCCTCTTTCTCACCCCTCTCTCTCTCTCTCTCTCTCTCTCTCGCTCTCTCTTGCTCTCGCTCTCTCTCTCAGATCTCTCTCCAGTATTTGTCTGGCAGCTCCTACTACCACACATGCGGAGGTACTCTGATCAGGAGGGGATGGGTCATGACTGCTGCTCACTGTGTGGACAGGTAGGACAAAGGAAGACATAAGATTTTATAGCGAAACTATGAAACCTCTTGACAAGGTAGCATGGCGTTAGGTTAAAGCTGAGAGCCGCGAAAGGTAACACAGCGCCACTGTCAACGGAGGAGATGAGCTTCCAGCGTTGTGATAAACAAAAATCATAGTACATACTCTGCAGTTCTATCACGCGTGCAATGATGTCAAAGAAAAAAAACTGTCAGCTGTTTAGAGTAGGCCTAACGTACGTGGCAGTTTCATCGCAGCAGATTCCAACTTTAAGATCGCTATAATATGGATGTATGTTGTATAACTTCCTAAGTGACTTCCTAAGTGACCAATGTATTATTGTGTGTGTGTCTCCAGCCAGAGGACTTGGCGTGTGGTTCTGGGAGACCACCACCTGAACAGCAACGAGGGTAAGGAACAGATCAAGACCGTCAGCCAGGTCTACATCCACAACGGGTGGAACTCCAACAACGTCGCTGGAGGGTAAGGACCGTTTTAAAAGTTTATAAATTGATCGTTTTTTTCCCAACAGTTTTTTAAAAATATTTATTTTACATTTACATTGACTGATAAGAATTTGAGTATAATATGGGTCAGTACATCATAAATGTTTACTATAACCAATATGTAATTACTGTGACATATACGTCTCCACAAGTGACATACGGTATAACTAATATGTCAGCCAAGGTGACTACATTTAACTACGGGGGTCAAGTGTCACACTTTAAAAATATATATTCTAGCGAGACCATGTTGCGGCTATATCAGATCTTAAAAATAAATAAAAAAGTGATGCTGTGTATGTTTATAAAACAGTGACCCAAGGAGCTATATTTAGGCAGATCCTCTTAGCATTTAGTAGATATTCCACAATAATAAATAATAAATAAATAATAAATATGTTACATATTGGGTTGCCATAAGTACAGAATAGAAAGGTTGGGAGAAAGTGCAGAAACACTGTGAGAAAGATTTATAACCTGAAGTGAAAACGACTCCTCGGACGTACCCTTTTGTTCCTCTGGTATGATACTGTGCTCTTCTATTTCTTAGATATGACATCGCCCTGCTGCGTCTGTCCACCGAGGCTTCCCTGAACTCTGCTGTCCAGCTGGCTGCTCTTCCTCCATCTGGCCAGATCCTGCCCAACAACAACCCTTGCTACATATCCGGATGGGGACGCACCCAGAGTTAGTAGCAACCTATTATCTCAATGTAACCTCAAACGCATTAAAAACATTTCATTGTCCTCGCATACAGTACAGGCCCAGAGACTACCCATAACTAATCACAACCCTGAATATGACACTAACAGAGCTGGCAAATGAGGGTCTTTTGGGATTTATACTTAAGCAATAAGGCCCAAGGGGGTGTGGTATATGGCCAATTTACCATGGCTAAGGGCTGTTCTTACGCACGACGCAACGCTGAGTGCCTGGATACAGCCCTTAGCCGTGGTATATTGGCCATATACCACAAACCCCCCGAGGTGCCTTATTGCTATCATAAACTGGTTACCAAAGTAATTAGAGCAGTAAAAATAAATGTTTTGTCATACCCGTGGTATACCACGGCTTTCAGCCAATCAGCATTCAGGGCTCGAACCACCTAGTTTATAATTGTTCTTAAGCATGTAAGTGACATATAACTAAGCAGGTTAGGTTTTTCTTCATGAATCTTTTTCTGGAGGCGGCTCTGCAGAGTGGTCAGTAGCTGGCAGTCACAAAGTCATAAAATCTGATTTTAAACCTAACCTTTACCCTAACCACACTTCTAACCTTAATGCCTAACCCTCGTTGTATCGCGTGTGTTTTTGTTCTACCTTGTTTTTTTCTAGTATTACTTTGTTATTGATTATTGCATTGTTGGGTTTTGAGTTTGCAAAAAAGGCATTTCACTGTACTTGTGCATGTGACATTAAAACTTGAAACTAACCCTAATCTTAAATGAAGATCAAAAAGCCAATTTTTGTTTTCATGAATCTTTACAATATAGCACATTTTTACTCTGCAGCTGGCCTATCTAAGGGGAAACCGCTCAGTTTTGATAACAGGACAAGACTCATGACAATAAACATCATCCTGCTATAACTAATGTCAACCGAGATGACATATGGTTAAATTTACTTATTTTGACATATTCTAAATGAAACCATATTGAATTATCATATCCTGTTCCTCTGAAATGCATCCCCTGTTCTTCACTATCAGCTGAAGTGATATATAACTACAATAGATAAATGTCACTATTTTATTTTACATATTCTAATAAAGCGTCCCCTGTCTGCCCTATAGCCGGCGGTTCTCTGTCCAACAGCCTGAAGCAGGCTTGGCTGCCCAGCGTTGACCACCAGACCTGCTCCAGCTCTGGCTGGTGGGGATCTACCGTCAAGACCTCCATGGTCTGCGCCGGAGGCGGAGCCAACTCTGGTTGCCAGGTAAGACCAGTGTAATTGAGGGGGAGGTGGAGGGGGGGGGGGTGTAGACCGATCGGTTTGGGATTTGAACCCACGACCCTGCATCTGTCCTTCTAAAACCTTAAACACTACACCAAGAGGTTTGAAGATGATTTGTCTTGGTGGGGTTATACTGCTGTAACATATGTATGGATGCATTTTATTGACTTTATATTCATTTATCATTTGAATTATATCTTAGCTTAGCTACATGTTTAGAAAATAAAAATAACCATTTATATTTTGTAAGCGACAGACACTTTATGTTATACATAAATTCATGAAGTAATAAATGTGTAAGAATCAAAAATGTGTAACTCAGCCCTGGTGAAGCTCTCCCTCTCCATCGTTCTAGGGAGACTCTGGCGGCCCCCTGAACTGCCAGGTCAACGGTCAGTACTACGTCCACGGAGTGACCAGCTTCGTGTCCTCTTCTGGATGCAACGCCAACCGCAAGCCCACCGTCTTCACCCGTGTGTCTGCTTACATCAGCTGGATGAACGGGGTACGTACCTTATAGCTAGGGGACAGGAGGAGAACATTACTTAATTTCTCTCAAAGCTAAGTCTATGGCATTGTTATGCACATTTTAATTAGTCGAATCGGTGTCCGTCTCAGCAACAATACTGACTGTATTTTGGGCAAATGTCTGAATCCTGGTCTAATTAATTGTCTTTCCTTTCCTCTGCAGATCATGGGTTGAAAGGGAACATGGTCATCGAGCAGAAAGACAGAACCCAAGGCACTGATCCGGAATCACCACCAACCCAGCTCAATTTAATTCACATTTTGCTGCAAAAGTTCAATAAACTTTATCGACTTTGGAGTAAACCTTTCATCATGTTTACTTTTTACTGTTCATGTCAAATCCACCCTGTCATTAATTACTTCACTGAATTGTGTGCGTTATGAGTGTAAATTGAGCGGGGTATTTTGTGACTACAAAGTTTGTTAACTGGATGTAATATCAAGAACATCAAAGAATCTAGAAAAGAATGGTGCTCTTTTAATTTTATGTTCTATAAATTAATCCTCATTATGAACATCCTTGCAAATGCAGGGGCAACATAAACTGACTGAAATAAGGTATTGGTGTGTATTCGAGGCATTGCTTACTACTACAGTACGTCCAACCTGCCTCACCTGGGTTGCCGTCTGAAAATGAGTTACTGACTGAACCGGTTGAACCCGTTGTACTTTTACTGTACGAGTCAAGTTCAGAAAAAAAAGTAACTTAATCTCATGCACAATTGCTAAGAAACGCCCCTTGAGGATGAACATTAATGTGCTCCCATACAGATAATAATTCAGTGAGCAGGCCGACTGCTCAGCCTAAGAAAACATTAATAAACTTGCATCAACAAAACACACCTCAATATTGTATCCTGCCTACGAAGAAGTAGCTTTTATAACCACAATAAATCCAAAATGGCTGACAGTTTCTCAGTCATAACACACATACTGTAGGCATATTTAGTTCAAATGGGAGCTGAGCCCACACCATTGATGGTAAGTAACAGCACTGCCCAACTCAGCTATCTGGACGACTGAATGAGGACTCCAGTACACTCGATACACATGATTGACATACGGTGAAAACATAGCCTAACCTATAATAAAGAACGAGAGAGGACATTGTATATTGTGAATAAACAGAAGTCACAGCTTTGGCCTGTTTTAGACACCATCTGTATCCACAGTAACTAATCGCATGGGAATTACCCTCTCCTTGTAATTAATGCATTTTAACAGAAAGGGGCTTTTTATCCACTGTCTTGCTTATAGGTCCTAATATTGAGGGTAAGTTTCCCAGACACACATGAATTAAGTCCTGGACTAAAATGGATTTACATTAGAGATTCTCCATTGTGAAAGATCCAGTACTAGAGTTAATCTGGGTCCGGGAAGCCCTGAGAGTTTACATGGTAGAAATATATTTTTAAACCAAACCCTTCCCACCTGGAATCTAAACAACCTGAGGATAGACATGGTTAAATCATTATTATAATAATAATACATGCCATTTACCTGACACTTTGATCCAGAGCAACTTACAGTACAGTGACTGCATATATTTGAGTATACTCACAGTGGGATGAGATGTCCCCAGTGGGCTTGGCCTTGGTGACAGGAGATAACAGTGAGATGTCCCCAGTGGGGCTTGGCCTTGGTGACGGGAGATAACTGTGGTACGTCCCCAGTGGTTTTGGCCTTGGCGACAAGAGATAACTGTGGTACGTCCCCAGTGTGTTTGGCCTTGGTGACAGGAGATAACTGTGGTACGTCCCCAGTGGGCTTGGCCTTGGTGACAGGAGATAACTATGGTACGTCCCCAGTGGGCCTTGGTGACAGGAGATAACTGTGGTACGTCCCCAGTGGGCCTTGGTGACAGGAGATAACTGTGGTACGTCCCCAGTGGGCTTGGCCTTGGTGACAGGAGATAACTGTGGTACGTCCCCAGTGGGCCTTGGTGACAGGAGATAACTATGGTACGTCCCCAGTGGGCTTGGCCTTGGTGACAGGAGATAACTGTGGTACGTCCCCAGTGGGCTTGGCCTTGGTGACAGGAGATAACTGTGGTATGTCCCCAGTGGGCTTGGCGACAGGAGATAACTGTGGTACGTCCCCAGTGGGCTTGGCCTTGGTGACAGGAGATAACTGTGGTACGTCCCCAGTGGGCTTGGCCTTGGTGACAATGTAATATGGTGTCTCCCATTACCCTGGAAGAGGTGGTCTTCACTGATGTATCCCTTAAACAATGTAATATGGTGTCTCCTGTCTCCCATTACCCTAGAAGAGGTGGTCTTCACTGATGTATCCCTTAAACAATATAATATGGTGTCTCCTGTCTCCTATTACCCTGGAAGAGGTGGTCTTCACTGATTCATCCCTTAAACAATGTAATATGGTGTCTCCTGTCTCCTATTACCCTGGAAGAGGTGGTCTTCACTGATGTATCCCTTAAACAATGTAATATGGTGTCTCCTGTCTCCCATTACCCTGGAAGAGGTGGTCTTCACTGATTCATCCCTTAAACAATGTAATATGGTGTCTCCTGTCTCCTATTACCCTGGAAGAGGTGGTCTTCACTGATGTATCCCTTAAACAATGTAATATGGTGTCTCCTGTCTCCCATTACCCTGGAAGAGGTGGTCTTCACTGATTCATCCCTTAAACAATGTAATATGGTGTCTCCTGTCTCCTATTACCCTGGAAGAGGTGGTCTTCACTGATGTATCCCTTAAACAATGTAATATGGTGTCTCCTGTCTCCCATTACCCTGGAAGAGGTGGTCTTCACTGATTCATCCCTTAAACAATGTAATATGGTGTCTCCTGTCTCCTATTACCCTGGAAGAGGTGGTCTTCACTGATGTATCCCTTAAACAATGTAATATGGTGTCTCCTGTCTCCCATTACCCTGGAAGAGGTGGTCTTCACTGATTCATCCCTTAAACAATGTAATATGGTGTCTCCTGTCTCCCATTACCCTGGAAGAGGTGGTCTTCACTGATTCATCCCTTAAACAATGTAATATGGTGTCTCCTGTCTCCCATTACCCTGGAAGAGGTGGTCTTCACTGATTCATCCCTTAAACAATGTCAACTACTCTTTGGTCCTATTACTGCTCACACAATTTATATTTGGCCCAAAACTGTAAAACAATGTACCTGGGAATCAAAATGTCATGCCCGTACTCTAATATTTCACAATAACACCTTGCGATCCGGAGGGCGGCCTTTTGCATCCCCCTAATGGTCCAAATGTGGAATCCGTACCCTTATCGATATCATGGACAGTAATGGTTTAAGAACATTCCAAAATTAGAAAGACACATACACATTACCAGGCACATCGTTTTTTTTCTATATTTACAACTTATGTCAGCTATGCTGGCCTATGGAGTCCCTTGGAAAACCCAACTACAGAACCATCCAATGATGGGATTTATAAATAAATTATCTGGGCTCCCAAAAGGACTGATCTCTATAATATACAGTGCATTCGGAAAGTATTCAGACCCCTTCACTTTTCCACATTTTGAGACGTTACAGCCTTATTCTAAAATGGATTAAATTCTCTCTAATAGTGAAGACATCAAAACTATGAAATAACACATATGGAATCATGTAGTAACCAAAAAAGTGTTAAACAAATCAAAATACATGTTATATTTGAGATTCTTCAAATAGCCACCCTTTGCCTTGATGACAGCCATTTTCAGGTCTTGCCATAGATTTTCAAGCAGATTTAAGTCAAAACTGTAACTGTGCCACTCAGAAACATTCAATGTCTTTCCTCGTAAGCAACTCAGTGTAGATTTGGCCTTATGTTTTAGGTTATTGTCTTGCTGAAAGGTGAATTAATCTCCCAGTGTCTGGTGGAAAGCAGACCGTTTTTTTAAATCCTGAAAAACATAATGATTACAAGCATACCCATAACATGATGCAGCCACCACTATGATTAAAAATATGGAGAGTGGTACTCAGTAATGTGTTGTATTGGATTTGCCATAAACATAACACTTTGTATTGAGGACAAAAAGTTAATTGCTTTGCCACATATTTTGCAGTATTACTTTAGTGCCTTATTATAAACAAGATAAATGTTGTATTCTGTACAGGCTTCCTTCTTTTCACTCTGTCAATTAGGTTAGTATTGTGGAGTAACTACAATGTTGTTGACCCATCCTTAGTTTTCTAAAACTAGTAAACTCTGTAACTGTTTTAAAGTCACCATTAGCCTCTTGGTGAAATCCATGAGCGGTTTCCTTCCTCTCCGGCAACTGAGTTAGGAAGGACGCCTGTATCTTTGTAGTGACTGGGTGTATTTATACACCATCCAAATTGGAATTAATAACTTCACCATGCTCAAATGGGTATTCAATATCTGCTTTATTATTTTTACCCATATACCAATATTTATAATTATCCAGTAGGAGGTGCTGCCAGGCTATAACATCCATCTGTTGTGATGGTCCAAAAACTTAAGTCAAGCCTGATTTACACCGGAATAACGTTAGTCTATGCAGGTCTGTGAGATAAGAGGTTGTTATATTTGTCCCTTTATATTTCAGGTATGACATTGCCCTGCTGCGTTTGTCCTGAACTCTGCCATCCAGCTGGCTGCTCTTCCCTGAACTCTGCTATCCAGCTACCTGCTTTTCCCTCAACTATAACGTCCAGCTACCTGTTCTTCCCTGAACTCTAACGTCCAGCTACCTGTTCTTTCCTGAACTCTGCTGTCCAGCTAGCTGCTCTTCCTCCCTCTGGTCAGATCCTGTCCCACAACAACCTCTGCTACATCACTGGATAGGTCGCAGAGCTAGTATAGCAAATAGCAAATGTAACAGTTACTGAACTGGTTACAGGGACTTTTTGCAGAGACGTAATGTCCATTGAAACTGAGAAAACCAAGTGGTAGTTAAGTGGTAGTTAAGCTTCCACAAAAACGGAATACCTATGCTACTGACTGTTTGATTTTACCATCAGTACTTGGTCTGAGTTATCAGATACATGAGATCCTATGGATTTTGGCCTTCAAATGTTTTTTGGGTGTCTGGCACTTACAATCCATGTTAATCATGTCCTTCCTAGCCGGCGGTAGCCTGTCCTCTGAACTGAAGATGGCCTACCCGCCCGTGCTGGAGCAGCACAGGACCTGCTCCAGCCGTAGCTGTTGGGGCAGCTCTGTCGAGACCGCCATGGTCTGTGCTGTAGGAGGATCTCTCTCTGGGCGCCAGGGTGAAACACAGTCCCCAAACACAGGTCTGTTGTGAAAAGAGTCCTTGAGTTTCAACGGGGGAGAGACAACAGATAACAATCATACCATTAATAGTATGTCACAGCTATTAAGTCAGCTTCAGGGAAAATATTACAATTCATCTATAATTTATGAAGTAAATTCACTTGTAGATGCAAATTGGTTCATTTCATCTAATCTCAGGCCCAAGCCCTCTGGTGGAGGCTGAAGGGTAGTACTCAAAGTCTGAATGAAAACAGCATAGTGACGAGTTCTCGCCCCAGTGTCAAGTTTCAAGTTTTAATGTCACACGCACAAGTACAGTTAAATGCCTTTCTTGCAAACTCAAAACCCAACAATGCAATAATCAATAAAAATGTATTACTAGAAAAAAATACACAAGAAATAAGAATAAGAAATATGAAATACACAATAAAGTAAGTAAGTATACTATATACAGGAAAGTCAGTTCCAATACCATATTTACATGTGCAGGGACACTGGAGTGACGGAGGTAGATATGTATAGGGGTCAGGTGACTATATACAGGGTCGGTTCAATACCATATTTACATGTGCAGGGATACTGGAGTGATGGAGGTAGATATGTATAGGGGTCAGGTGACTAGGCCACAGGATATAAGATAAACAGAGTAGCAGCAGCTTGCATGTGAGTGGGTGTGTCTAGAGTCAGTATAAATGTATTATGTGTGAGTGAGAAAATGATGGAGTGAGTGTGTGTGTGTGTTGAAGTGACAGTCTGTGTGAGTGTATAGGGCCCTGTGAGGGTACTGAAAGTATCACCCCCTGCTAGAGTTTAACAGTATTTTAACTCTAAGTAGAATCATCGCAGTGAATGTAGTACTCACCTGTGTCCTCCCTCTCTCTCTTGTTTTTCTCTCTGTTTCCTGTAGGGAGACTCTGGTGGCCCGCTGAACTGCCAGGTGAGTGGGAAGTACTACGTCCATGGTGTGACCAGCTTCGTGTCCACCCAGGGCTGCAACGCCCAGGGAAAGCCCACCGTCTTCACCCACCTGTGTGCCTACATCAGCTGAATGGATGGGGTACGTACCATAGATATCCATATGTTTGTAATGTATCACAGTATATGATATGTACTGTAGATCAGCTAGGAACCACAGCTCCCATGGCCACTGTCTTCCATATCTGCCTCCATAACATGATGCTAAGTGCCAATATTATGTAAATGAGTAGAGTACCGTAGAACTCACAAATATGCAGTATGATTCTTAAACTTAAAACACAATGCTCAATAAGTCACAATCCACCGACTGGCACTTATAAATTATTATACAGTTATCTGTACTGTTCCTAATCAATACTCTTTTCCTCCTAGAGATCATGGGTTGAGGTTAAGAACTGTCATAGACAGCAGGGACCTCGATTTCTGGCTCTCTCATGTTTGTTCCAATACAACAACACAAGACTTGAAAATGTGCCAATGAGACCAAGACAGCGGTGAACAGAGCTGGCCACTGGCCTGGTCACGTCTCCTCAGACCGCAACATTTCCACTTCTTTCATCTGCTGAATGTCCTATACTGAATGAAAAATAGACGTCGGTATCAAGAGCCAACGTCTGAGAGCAATGATCTATTGAAAACCAATTTTATTGTCAACAAGTATTTTTCCCTACATAGGAAAATCCCCTTATATATAATTCCATAACATTACCCATGGGGGTGAAAACATGACAATGTTTAATAGATAATCCCTTTCATAATGCAGACATTTAAATAAGCATGACATAAAAATCCCACCGGTGAATTCAGGTGATGAAGAACAGGTTAAGAGACAATAAAAGGAAATACACTTTCTTATTTACGTTTGAGCAATAAAGTACTTAGACAAAGTCTAATTCAATGTTTGCAGATGTGCTCGATTTCATCACGTCAGAGACATGCGATGCTGTACGTCACAGTTTCAACATTACACATTTGTTGACAAACTACATTAAATTGGCCCATGTATTACATCCATGGACCTACAGTAGATCTTTAATAAAGTACATAAGGTATAAAGCTAAATAAAGTAAGGCACATACTTTTTGACTTTTAGAAATAATTAACTAAATTTAACTAAACCCAGCTACGTCCCAATGTCCATTCTAACATACCATTTAGAATGCGTGTCCAACACATTGCTTCACTCTAAGTTATATGTTAGTGTGGATTTTGGAACAGAGCCCCGGGTACTCAATGAAGCCAAAGACATGACTGAAACAACAGTCACCATGATATCTGAACCCCTTCAGTATTACTGAAACCGTCACCATGATATCTGAACCCCTTCAGTATTACTGAAACCGTCACCATGATATCTGAACCCCTTCAGTATTACTGAAACAACAGTCACCATGATATCAGAACCCCTTCATCATGACTCAAACAACAGTCACCATGATATCTGAACCCCTTCAGTATTACTGAAACCGTCACCATGATATCTGAACCCCTTCAGTATTACTGAAACCGTCACCATGATATCTGAACCCCTTCAGTATTACTGAAACAACAGTCACCATGATATCTGAACCCCTTCAGTATTACTGAAACAACAGTCACCATGATATCTGAACCCCTTCAGTATTACTGAAACAACAGTCACCATGATATCTGAACCCCTTCAGTATTACTGAAACCGTCACCATGATATCTGAACCCCTTCAGTATTACTGAAACAACAGTCACCATGATATCTGAACCCCTTCAGTATTACTGAAACCGTCACCATGATATCTGAACCCCTTCAGTATTACTGAAACAACAGTCACCATGATATCTGAACCCCTTCAGTATTACTGAAACCGTCACCATGATATCAGAACCCCTTCAGTATTACTGAAACCGTCACCATGATATCTGAACCCCTTCATCATGACGGGGTCTTAGAAGTGTCTGTCTGCTGCGCCCTTGTAGCACAACCTCAGCTAATGTATCAACAACGTGCTAATCTTCACCAATAAACCGCAAAGCCAAAGGCATTCTCTGATGCAGCATACACATAAACACCTACTGCACAGAGGAGAACGACAAAGCTGTTTTTTTAGCAGGCCAGCTGTGTGTTGTGAAAGTGCTGTATATGAATTTGCAAAAGGCCCTTGCTAAGAAAACACTACCAAGGCAACTCGCCTGTTCATATGAGCCTGGTCCCAGATCTGTTTTGTGCTATCATGTCAACTCCTTGTCATGTCAACTCCTTGTCATGTCAACTCCTTGTCATGTCAACTCCTTGTCATGCCAAACTTGACAGACTGGTACCTAGCAGTGTTCATTTTGCCAGCGATTTTAGATTTCGTTTTAGTCTTTTGACTAAAATAGCTTTTAGTCATTTACGTCATTTAGCAGACGCTCTTATCCAGAGCGACTTACAAATTGGTGCATTCACCTTATAGCCAGTGGGACAACCACTTTACAATATGTTTTTTTTGTTCTTTCTTTTTTTGGTCTTAGTCACATTTTAGCCATTTCATCCTTCTTAGTTTTTAAGTAAACTAAAACTGGACAATTTTAGTGTAGTTTTAGTCACAGTCATAGTTTAGTCAACGCATTTTCCCATTAAATAACTAATATTTAGGCTTCCTCTAACTTCGACCATGTGCATATTCAGCCTTGTCCAACTAGGCCTACCAGTATAGAGTGTATACCCTCCTATAACTTAGCTGGCAAAATTGCAATTGTGGAAGCCATGATTAATCATCCTAGCCTACAAAGCCTTGGATACAGGTTAACCAATTTACAGCTCTGATTTTCTCCTCATCATAACCGTCAGAGGGGGGTAAATACCAGTGGTTTCGTTGAGAAGGGGAGGATGTGAGCTTTCCAACAAGGCCCGAATTATTACTGTACTCCTAATATTCACTAAGTAGCATTAGTATTTCCAATGGGGAGGAAGTAACTGCAACTCGTATTTGCGGACCGTGAGAACGGCAACACTAATGAATATCAGCAAAAATGGCAACATATTAACTTCTGATGTGATCAAATATGAACATTATTGTTTCTTAACAGAATAGAGGTTAGTTCCAATTTAGAAGTTCCCTGCCTGCGCATCAGTTCAAAAGAGAGACAATTGAAGCAACCGCCTGGGAGCTTGTGTGTGTTGGAAAGATATGTAGTCTTTCAGCCAATAAAAGGATTGCATAAAATATTCTGTATTTAAGCCCAGCCTCACTCTCAGGTGTCCTCCTGTATTTAAGCCCAGCCTCACTCTCAGGTCTCCTCCTGTATTTAAGCCCAGCCTCACTCTCAGGTCTCCTCCTGTATTTAAGCCCAGCCTCACTCTCAGGTGTCCTCCTGTATATAAGCCCAGCCTCACTCTCAGGTCTCCTCCTGTATATAAGCCCAGCCTATGAGAGGAGTAAATACTGCATACAAGATAGGGACTCCGTCCCAAAGATCTTTCCTTCCTCCTAAAGTGTGCACTTCACTGATTTGAAGGAAAATGACTGGTATAAGAAATATGGTGGAAACTCCCACTACCCCATGCCTCCACCAATCCAATGCTTTTAGATTTGTGGGAAGTAGTGAACAAGTGTACACTTCAGGAGTTAGGAGATATTATTGGGACTCACCCAGGGACTCAGAGATGTCAGAGAGAGAAGTCCTGGTGGAAGGAATAACACTACACTTAGAAAAAAAAAAGATTCCAAAAGGGTTATTTTGGCTGTCCCCATAGGATAACCATTTTTGGTTCCAAGTATAATTGTTTTTGGTTCCAAGTAGAAACATTTTGGGTGCCATGTAGAACACTCTGTGGAAAGGGTTCTACATGGAACCAAAAAGGGTTCTTCAAAGGGTTCTCCAATAGGGACAGCCGAAGAACCCTTTTAGGTTCTAGATAGCGCCTTTTTTTCTAAGACTGTAGGGTTACATCCCAAATGGCATCCCTATTCTTTATACACACTACTGACCAACTAATGCACAAAAGGCCTATATCAAATAGAGTGGCACTTCGGACACACTACCAATTGCAACTGAAAACTAAAATGAGTGTTTGCTATTGGACTTGAAGTCCCTCCATGTTTCAGTACGCTTTCTTCCGTTTGAGGCCTAATGATTTATCAAGTAGGAGTGCTGATCTAGGATCTACAATGTCTATAGTAATCAGTTTCATTACGCAAAATTGATCGTAGATCAGCACTCCTAATGGGAGAGCTTGATACATACATTTACATTACATTTTAGTCATTTAGCAGACGCTCTTATCCAGAGCGACTTACAGGAGCAATTAGGGTTAAGTGCCTTGCTCAAGGGCACATCGACAGATTTTTCACCTAGTCGGCTCGGGGATTAGAACCAGCGACCTTTCGGTTACTGGCACAACGCTCTTAACCACTAAGCTACCTGCCGCATACGGCCCCTGATCACACCATGCCTTCTACAGTCTCTAGTTTGGGGGGTATGGGTATGGTATCAGCCACTGGTAGTCTCTCCTGTTCCTGGCAGGCCACCTGGTACTCCTGTAGGACCTTCACCACGGCACCGTGGCCAAACTGCATGGCGTCATCCAGGGGAATGTTGCCCCACCTGGAGGGAGGTGGTAGAGACGAGACAGACAGGTGAACGATGTCAGACGTTATTCAGTGCACTACCTTTGAGTAAAGATACCAGCCGCGGAGGACAGAACGACATGGAGAAATAAGGCACGAGGCTGGGAATGTATAGTGAGTCTAGATAGCAACACCAGCTAAGGGACGTTGTTAGGTTGGAGGCAAAGTCAATAGAGACTGATATAGATGGATGAATGAATGGAGGGGTGGATGAATGAATGCTACCGTACCTGTCTTTCACAAAGGGGTTCACTTTGCAGGTGTCTGTTAGGAACCGTACCACATCCACATGACCTGAGGACAAAAACACTAAATATGTATCTTAGGGGGGCAACACTTGCTATGAGGCACACACACATAATGCCTTATATGATACACGTTTAGTGCATTATAACACTTGCTAGAAGCTGTCATAACAACTAGGTAGCTGTAACATCACTATGATGCATTGTAAGACATAATCCCAACTAGGTAGCTGTAACATCACTATGATGCATTGTAAAACATAATCCCAACTAGGAGCCACCGGTGGATTGTAGCTCACCCTCAGCAGCAGCCACGTGTAGAGCCGTCCTAGAGTCGTAGTCTTTCAGATCCATGTCCATCGATGACAGAGCAAACCTGAGAGGAAAGGATAGGAGAGTCATAGTCTTTCAGATTCATGTCCATCGATGACAGAGAAAACCTGAGAGGACAGGATAGGAGACGAGGGGTGCTATATTCTACATGTTAGTTCTAATTTCCAAGAGGTTTACTGTGAAGGATTACTAGCTAGGAGAGAGTGACATCTACAGCATGTGACAAGTAGTAAAACTAACAATATATTTACTTTATATTAATTTAACCAGGTTGGTCTCTGCATATAGCCTCCGAGATTATTTTACCTTCTGAGGGCTGACACATCTCCACTGTAGGCCGCAAACATCAGGTTCACCACAGACTTGTTCTACAGATATAGCAGAGATAAATACAACTTACACTGGGTGGGACACTGGGAGACAGATACATAACCATTCATAGGACACAGCTACATAACCATTCATAGGACACAGATACATAACCATTCATAGGACACAGATACATAACCATTCATAGGACACAGCTACATAACCATTCATAGGACACAGCTATATAACCATTCATAGGACACAGCTACATAACCATTCATAGGACACAGATACATAACCATTCATAGGACACAGCTACATAACCATTCATAGGACACAGCTACATAACCATTCATAGGACACAGATACATAACCATTCATAGGACACAGATACATAACCATTCATAGGACACAGATACATAACCATTCATAGGACACAGATACATAACCATTCATAGGACACAGATACATAACCATTCATAGGACACAGCTACATAACCATTCATAGGACACAGATACATAACCATTCATAGGACACAGATACATAACCATTCATAGGACACATATACATAACCATTCATAGGACACAGCTACATAACCATTCATAGGACACAGCTATATAACCATTCATAGGACACAGCTACATAACCATTCATAGGACACAGATACATAACCATTTTATAGGACACAGCTACATAACCATTCATAGGACACAGCTACATAACCATTCATAGGACACAGATACATAACCATTCATAGGACACAGCTACATAACCATTCATAGGACACAGCTACATAACCAATTCATAGTACTCGTCATAACAAAAGCAAACTTAAACTTCACTTTATGTTTTAGAAAATATACTACCAGTCAAAGGTTTGGACACAACTACTCATTCAAGGGTTTTTCTTTATTTTTACTATTTTCTACATTGTAGAACTATAGTGAAGACATCAAAACTATGAAATAACACATATGGAATCATGTAGTAACCAAAAAAGTGTTAAACAAATCAAAATATATTTGAGATTCTTCAAAATAGCCACCCTTTGCCTTGATGACAGCTTTGTACACTCTTGGCATTCTCTCAGCCAGGTTCATGAGGTAGTCACCTGGAATGCATTTCAATTAACAGGTGTGCCTTCTTAAAAGTTAATTTGTGGAATTTCTTTCCTTTTTAATGCGTTTCAGCCAATCGGTTGTGTTGTGACAAGGTAGGGGTGGTATACAGACGATAGCCCTATTTGGTAAAAGACCAAGTCCATATTATGGCAAGAACAGCTCAAATAAGCAAAGAGAAACAACAGTCCATCATTACTTTAAGACAGTCAATACGGAACATTTCAAGAACTTTGAAAGTTTCTTCAAGTGCAGTCGCAAAAACCATCAAGTGCTATGATGAAACTGGCTCTCATGAGGACCACCACAGGAATGGAAGACCCAGAGTTACCTCTGCTGCAGAGGATAAGTTAATTAGAGTTACCAGCCTCAGAAATTGCAGCCCAAATAAATGCTTCACAGAGTTCAAGTAACAGACACATCTCAACATCAGCTGTTCAGAGGAGACTGTGTGAATCAGGACTTCATGGTCGAATTGCTGCAAAGAAACCACTACTAAAGGACACCAATAATAAGAAGAGACTTCCATAGGTCAAGAAACACAAGCAATGGACATTAGACCGGTGGAAATGTGTCCTTTGGTCTGGAGTCCAAATTGAAGATTTTTGGTTCCAACCGCCGTGTCTTTGTGAGACGCGGTGTCGGTGAACGGATGATCTCCGCATGTGTATTTCCCACCGTAAAGCATGGAGGAGGAGGTGTTATGGTGTGGGGGTGCTTTGCTGGTGACACTGTCTGTGATGTATTTAGAATTCAAGGCACACTTAACCAGCATGGCTACCACAGCATTCTGCAGTGATACGCCATCCCATCTGGTTTGGGCTTAGTGGGACTATCATTTGTTTTTCAACAAGACAATGACCCAACACACCTCCAGGCTGTGTAAGGGCTATTTTACCAAGAAGGAGAGTGATGGAGTGCTGCATCAGATGACCTGGACTCCACAATCCCCCGACCTCAACCCAATTGAGATGGTTTGGGATGAGTCGGACCGCAGAGTGAAGGAAAAGCAGCCAACAAGTGCTCAGCATATGTGGGAACTCCTTCAAGACTGTTGGAAAAAGCATTCCAGGTGAAGCTGGTTGAGAGAATGCCAAGAGTGTGCAAAGCTGTCATCAAAGCAAAGGGTGGCTATTTGAAGAATATCAAATATAACATATTTGTTTAACACTTCTTTGGTTACTACATGATTCCATATGTGTTATTTCATAGTTTTGATGTCTTCACTATTATTCTACAATGTAGAAAATAGTACAAATAAAGACAATCCCTGGAATGTGTAGGTGTGTCCAAACTTTGGACTGGTAATGCATGTTAAATTGTTGTTGTGTTTACTTTATAACTCTCACAACTCACAAAAACCCTTACCCTATCATCCCCGTCCTGCCTTCGAGGGTCCTGCTTCTTGACAAAGTGTCTCAGGTTGTCATAGTTATGGAAGTTAAACGAAGACACCAGTTCCTGAAAACCAGAGCATGACAAAAAGACAGTTCAGTCCCCAGTACAGTATCGGGAGGCAGAAACATTATATATATATATATATATATATATATGTGGTAACACTACTGAAGGGTACCTAGTACATACAGACTTTGTAACACATCCATAACCTACACATAGGGAGTACATTTTACATTTTTAGTAATTTAGCAGATGCTCTTATCCAGAGCGACTTACAGTTAGTGAGTGCATTTCTTCTTCTTTTTTATTTTTTATTTATTTTTAATGTTTTTTTTTCTTCTTCATACTGGCCCCCCCGTGGGAATCGAACCCACAACCCTGGCGTTGCAAGCGCCATGCTCTACCAACTGAGCTACACGAGGCCTACACATAAACATTTCTCACCCTGTACACGCATTTCAGTCATTTTATCATTTATAACACATGGAAATAAAGCTAGTAACTTTACCTGGCAGAAGTGTATTCCCCGGACACTGTTTCCAACCTTGTCTAGCGGAGGAGACCAACACATGACTCCCATGACGTTAGGGACCACCAACAGAATGGCTCCTGACACCCCAGACTTAGCTGGCAAGCCCACCTGGGAAAGAACCATACAAGGGACCATACATAGTTATGACAAAACTGTCAGTTGAAGCCTCCAACAAAATTCAAATAAAAAAAATTGGACTTCATTTGACCGATACATTTGTAAAAAATTTACTTGACTATAAATACATGGCATTTTTTTTTTTAGTTTAGGCTACTACACAATTAATTCATTTAAATTCAAATAGCTTTTATTTCCTGAGAGGGAACTTAAAATGTGGTGATGGATTGCTACATTCAAGACACATAACATAGAATGCAAAACATGTACAGTACATGTTTAAATACATATACATAGGTAGTTGCATACCTTTCCCTACTGTATCTTAGGACTGCCGTATAACTACTATATAACTACTATATGACTACTATATGACTACTCTATGACTACTATATAACTACTCTATGACTACTATATGACTACTATATGACTGCTGTATAACTACTATATGACTACTATATAACTACTATATAACTACTATATAACTACTATATGACTACTATATGACTGCTGTATAACTACTATATAACTACTATATGACTACTATATGACTACTATATGACTGCTGTATAACTACTATATAACTACTATATGACTACTATATAACTACTATATAACTACTATATAACTACTATATGACTACTATATGACTACTATATGACTGCTGTATAACTACTATATGACTACCCTATGACTACTATATAACTACTATATGACTACTATATAACTACTCTATAACTACTCTATAACTACTATATAACTACTCTATGACTACTATATGACTACTATATGACTACTATATAACTACTATATGACTGCTGTATAACTACTATATGACTACTATATAACTACTATATGACTACTATATAACTACTCTATAACTACTATATGACTACTATATAACTACTATATAACTACTATATAACTACTATATGACTACTATATAACTACTATATGACTACTATATGACTACTATATAACTACTATATGACTACTATATAACTACTATATGACTACTATATGACTACTCTATGACTACTATATAACTACTATATGACTACTATATGACTGCTGTATGACTGCCGTATAACTACTATATGACTACTATATGACTACTATATGACTACTATATGACTGCTGTATAACTACTATATGACTACTATATGACTACTATATGACTGCTGTATAACTACTATATAACTACTCACATTCAGATACATTGTCGGGAGAGGTTGTGTTTTCTCTAGCAGGAGGTAAGCTTGGCTTCTTATATGGTGTTGAGTAAAGCTTAAATCATGTATTTAGATTGTAGGTAGGTATTGTAGTTAGGTATTATAGGTAGTTTACTCAGGTAGTTATTGTAGGTTATTGTAGGTAATTATTTTATTCGGCGGACCCCGGCGAAGCACGAGGCTAGCTTACCCACTACTTGGACCAACAAAGCTAGCTAGCTAGCTAGCGGGTAGCTACTGGTAACGTTTAGCAACTGTGGTTAGTTGTTTCCAATGTTATTTCACGCTCAAGAGTACCTGTGATTGAGCCAGCTAGCTGCCACCATTCAGCCGTTTTTCTAACCTCATTATCCGAGGCATTAACGTTACGTGGTTGGTAGCTGCTGTACTTAATTACAGCTACTGATAACAGTCTGCTGTAGTTTACAACAATTCTAATTTCTAAAGTGGAAGTTGGGAGAGTTTTATTCGGGTGGTTCAGTGAAACAATTATAGTTTCTGAGGTGGAAGTTGGGAGAGTTATATTTTTTTGGTGAGGGAGGCCTGCTCTCTCCTTTCCCAGATGTTTAGTTCATTTCATTCCGATCTCCTCTGCATTATTGTAGCCATCTGCTGCAGCCTGTCAACTATGCCTCTGCCTATCCCTGTTCTCTCCTCTCCGCACAGGCTACACAAACGCCTCACACCGCGTGGCTGCTGCCTCTCTAACCTGGTGGTCCCTGCACGCACCACACACCTGGAGTTCCAGGTCTCAGGCAGCCTCTGGAACTGCCGTTCTGCCGCCAACAAGGCTGACTTCATCCCAGCCTATGCTACCCTCCAGTCCCTCGACTTCCTGGCGCTGACGGAAACATGGATTACCACTGAAAACACTGCTACTCCTACTGCTCTCTCCTCGTCTGACCATGTGTTCTCGCATACCCCGAGAGCATCTGGTCAGAGGGGTGGTGGCACAGGAATCCTCATCTCTCCCAAGTGGTCATTCTCAATTTTTCCCCTAACCCATCTGTCTATCTCCTCATTTGAATTCCACGCTGTCACAGTCACTAGCCCATTTAAGCTTAATATCCTTGTCATCTATCGCCCTCCAAGTTCCCTTGGAGAGCTTGACGCCCTGATAAGTTCTTTTCCTGAGGATGGCTCACCCTTCACAGTTTTGGGGGATTTCAACCTCCCTACGTCTACATTTGACTCATTTCTCTCTGCCTCCTTCTTTCCACTCCTCTCCTCTTTTGACCTCACCCTCTCACCGTCCCCCCCTACTCACAAGGCAGGCAATACGCTTGACTTCATCTTTACTAGATGTTGCTCTTCTACAAATCTCACTGCAACTCCCCTCCATGTCTCCGACCACTACTTTGTATCCTTTTCTCTCTCGCTCTCCTCCAACACTACTCACTCTGCCCCTACACAGATGGTAACGCGCCGCCGCAACCTTCGCTCTCTCTCTCCCACTACTCTCTCCTCTTCCATCCTATCATCTCTTCCCTCTGCTCAATCCTTCTCCCTCCAATCTCCTGATTCTGCCTCCTCAACCCTCCTCTCCTCCCTTTCTGCATCCTTTGACTCCCTGTGTCCCCTATCCTCCCGGCCGGCTCGGTCCTCCCCTCCAGCTCCGTGGCTTGATGACTCATTGCGAGCTCACAGAACAGAGCTCCGGGCAGCGGAGCGGAAATGGAAGAAAACTAAACTCCCTGCCGACCTGGCATCTTTTCACTCCCTCCTCTCTACATTTTCTTCATCTGTTTCTGCTGCTAAGGCCACTTTCTACCACTCTAAATTCCAAGCATCTGCCTCTAACCCTAGGAAGCTCTTTGCCACATTCTCCTCACTGCTGAATCCTCCCCCCCTCACCCCCCCCCCCCCCCCCCCCCCCCCCCTCCCTCTCTGTGGATGACTTCGTCAACCACTTTGAAAAGAAGGTTGACGACATCCGATCCTCGTTTGTTAAGTCTAATGACACTGCTGGTCCTGCTCACACTGCCCTACCCTATGCTTTGACTTCTTTCTCCCCTCTCTCTCCAGATAAAATCTTGCGACTAGTGACTGCAGGCCGCCCAACAACCTGCCCGCTTGACCCCATCCCCTCTTCTCCAGACCATCTCCGGTGACCTTCTCCCCTACCTCACCTCGCTGATCAACTCATCCTTGACCGCTGGCCATGTCCCTTCCGTCTTCAAGAGAGCGAGAGTTGCACCCCTTCTCAAAAAACCAACACTCGATCCCACTGATGTCAACAACTACAGACCAGTATCCCTTCTTTATTTTCTTTCCAAAACTATTGAGCGTGCCGTCTTTAGCCAACTCTCTTGCTATCTCTCTCAGAATGACCTTCTTGATCCAAACCAGTCAGGTTTCAGGACTGGTCATTCAACTGAGACTGCTCTTCTCTGTGTCACGGAGGCTCTCCGCACTGCTAAAGCTAACTCTCTCTCCTCTGCTCTTGTCCCTCTAGACCTGTCTGCTGCCTTTGATACTGTGAACCATCAGATCCTCCTCTCCACCCTCTCCGAGCTGGGCATCTCCGGCGCGGCTCACTCCTGGATTGCGTCCTACCTGACCGGTCGCTCCTACCAAGTGGCGTGGCGAGAAGCTGTCTCCGCACCACGTGCTCTCACCACTGGTGTCCCCCAGGGCTCAGTTCTAGGCCCTCTCCTTTTCTCCCTATACACCAAGTCACTTGGCTCTGTCATATCCTCACATGGCCTCTCCTATCATTGCTACGCTGACGATACACAACTAATCTTCTCCTTTCCCCCTTCTGATAACCAGGTGGCGAATCGCATCTCTGCATGTCTGGCCGACATATCAGTATGGATGACGGATCACCACCTCAAGCTGAACACTGGCAAGACGGAGCTGCTCTTCCTCCCGGGGAAGGACTGCCCGTTCCATGATCTCGCCATCACGGTTGACAACTCCGTTGTGTCCTCCTCCCAGAGTGCGAAGAGCCTTGGCGTGACCCTGGACAACACCCTGTCGTTCTCCGCTAACATCAAGGCGGTGACCCGATCCTGCAGGTTCATGCTCTACAACATTCGGAGAGTACGACCCTGCCTTACACAGGAAGCAGCACAGGTCCTAATCCAGGCACTTGTCATCTCCCGTCTGGATTACTGCAACTCGCTGTTGGCTGGGCTCCCTGCCTGTGCCATTAAACCCCTACAACTCATCCAGAATGCCGCAGCCCGTCTGGTGTTCAACCTTCCCAAGATCTCTCACGTCACCCCCCTCCTCCGCACACTCCACTGGCTTCCAGTTGAAGCTCGCATCCGTTACAAGACCATGGTGCTTGCCTATGGAGCAGTGAGGGGAACGGCACCACCGTACCTTCAGGCTCTGATCAGTCCCTACACCCAAACGAGGGCATTGCGTTCATCCACCTCTGGCCTGCTGGCTCCCCTTCCTCTGCGGAAGCATAGTTCCCGCTCAGACCAGTCAAAACTGTTCGCTGCTCTGGCACCCCAATGGTGGAACAAGCTCCCTCACGACGCCAGGACAGCGGAGTCACTCACCACCTTCCGGAGACATTTGAAACCCCACCTCTTTAAGGAATACCTGGGATAGGATGAAGTAATCCTTCTACCCCCCCCGCCCCCCCCCAAAAAAAAAAATTAATAAAAAAAAAAAATTAATAAAAATAAATAAAGAACAAAAAAATAACAATTTTTTTTATTGTAAAGTGGTTAACCCACTGGCTATAGGGTGAATGCACCAATTTGTAAGTCGCTCTGGATAAGAGCGTCTGCTAAATGACTTAAATGTAAATGTTAAATGATACTATATAACTACTATATGACTACTATATGACTGCTGTATAACTACTATATGACTACTATATGACTACTATATAACTACTATATAACTACTATATGACTACTATATAACTACTATATGACTACTATATGACTGCCGTATAACTACTATATGACTACTATATGACTACTATATAACTACTATATGACTACTATATAACTACTATATGACTACTATATGACTGCTGTATGACTACTATATGACTGCTGTATAACTACTATATGACTACTATATGACTACCATATGACTACTATATGACTACTATATGACTACTATATGACTGCTGTATAACTACTATATGACTACTATATGACTACTATATAACTACTATATAACTACTATATGACTACTATATGACTACTATATAACTACTCTATGACTACTATATGACTACTATATAACTACTATATGACTACTATATAACTACTATATGACTACTATATGACTGCTGTATAACTACTATATAACTACTATATGACTACTATATGACTGCTGTATAACTACTATATGACTACTATATGACTGCTGTATAACTACTATATGACTACTATACGACTACGATATAACTACTATATGACTACTATATGACTACTATATGACTGCTGTACAACTACTATATAACTACTATATGACTACTATATAACTACTATATAACTACTATATAACTACTATATGACTGCTGTATAGCTACTATATAACTACTATATGACTGCTGTATAGCTACTATATAACTACTATATGACTGCTGTATAACTACTATACGACTACTATATGACTACTATATGACTACTATATAACTACTATATGACTACTATATAACTACTATATGACTACTATATGACTGCTGTATAACTACTACATAACTACTATATGACTACTCTATGACTACTATATGACTGCTGTATAACTACTATATGACTACTATATGACTGCTGTATAACTACTATATGACTACTATACGACTACTATATAACTACTATATGACTACTATATGACTACTATATGACTACTATATGACTGCTGTATAACTACTATACAACTACTATATGACTACTATATAACTACTATATGACTACTATATAACTACTATATAACTACTATATGACTGCTGTATAGCTACTATATAACTACTATATGACTGCTGTATAACTACTATACGACTACTATATGACTACTATATGACTACTATATGACTACTATATAACTACTATATGACTACTATATGACTACTATATGACTGCTGTATAACTACTATATAACTACTATATAACTACTATATGACTACTATATTACTACTATATGACTGCTGTATAACTACTATATAACTACTATATGACTACTATATGACTGCTGTATAACTACTATATGACTACTATATGACTACTATATGACTGCTGTATAACTACTATATGACTACTATATAACTACTATATGACTACTATATGACTGCTGTATAACTACTATATGACTACTATATAACTACTATATAACTACTATATGACTACTATATGACTGCTTTATAACTACTATATGACTACTATATGACTACTATATAACTACTATATGACTACTATATAACTACTATGTAACTACTATATGACTGCTGTATAACTACTATATGACTACTATATAACTACTATATAACTACTATATGACTACTATATGACTACTATATGACTAATGTATAACTACTATATGACTACTATATAACTACTATATGACTACTATATAACTACTATATAACTACTATATGACTACTATATAACTACTATATGACTGCTGTATAACTACTATATGACTACTATATAGCTACTTTATGACTACTATATAACTACAGTATGACTTACATGGAAGGCCATCTGTCCAGAGAAGTCGTACATGCCGCAGGAGTGCATGAGACTCAGGGTATTCCGTACGGCCTCGGCACTCAGCACCCGCTCGCCTGTGATTGGGCAGATTCCCCCGTGGGCCAGCGTAGCTGCCATGACACTCCCAGACTCACAGGTCACCTCTATGGAACACAGCTGAAAGGAAATCATTTATTTACTCAAACATAGGGAGAAATACAGTGTCTGTGACTCATACATACTGTAAAGAAACGACATTATGACATTTTCCAGTAATAAATCATTATGATGCATTAGCAGAAATATACAGCATATAAATAGCATAACCCTGTTACATTATCACAGTGTGGTAAAGTGCTATCTTGAGGAAGTATCGTTTACCTGGAAGTAGAAGTCCAGTGCATCAATCATTTCTGCCCCACTGGGAAAACACTGCAGATGGAAATCAGTTTATAATATCATTTCTGCCCCACGGGGAAAACACTGCCGATGGAAACCAGTTTATAATATCATTTCTGCCCCACGGGGAAAACACTGCAGATGGAAACCAGTTTATAATATCATTTCTGCCCCATGGGGAAAACAATGCAGATGGAAACCAGTTTATTATAGCAATAAGGCCCGATGGGGTGTGGTATACGGCCAAAATACCACGGCTAAAGGCTGTTCGTAAGCATGACGCATCGCGGAGTGCCTGAACACAGCCCTTAGCCATGTAATATTGGCCATATACCACAAACCCCCGAGGTGCCTTATTGCTATCATAAACTGGTTACCAAGGTTAATTAGAAGAGTAAAAATAAATGTTTTGTCATACCAGTGGCATAGGGTCTGATATACCACAGCTTTCAGCCAATCAGCATTCAGGGCTCAAACCACCCAGTTTATAATGATCAATGTTACACACAGAACATTAATATCTAAGAGTCATCCATATCTCTCATATGGTTTACAGTAGAAACAAGATTCTCTGGTCTGATGAAACCAAGATTGAACTCTTTGGCCTGAATGCCAAGCGTCACGTCTGGAGGAAACCTGGCACCATCCCTATGGTGAAGCATGGTGGTGGCAGCATCATGCTGTGGGGATGTTTTTCAGCGGCAGGGACTGGGAGACTATTCAGGATTGAGGGAAAGATGAACGGAGCAAAGTACAGAGAGATCCTTGATGAAAACCTGCTCCAGAGCGCTCAGGACCTCAGACTGAGGCGAAAGTTCACCTTCCAACAGGACAACGACCCTAAGCACACAGCCAAGACAACGCAGGAGTGGCTTCGGGACAAGTCTCTGAATGTCTAGCCAGAGCCTGGACTTGAACCTGAGACCTGGAAATAGCTGTGCAGCAACGCTCCCCATCCAACCTGACAGAGATTGAGAGGATCTGCAGAGAAGAATGGGAGAAACTCCCCAAATACAGGTGTACCAAGCTTGTAGCTTCATACCCAAGAAGTCGCGAGGCTGTAATCGCTGCCAAAGGTGCTTCAACAAAGTACTGAGCAAAGGATCTGAATACTTATGTAAATGTGATTTCATTTGTTTTATTTTAAATACATTTCCTAAAATGTATACAAAGCTGTTTTTGCTTTGTCATTATGGGGTATTGTGACCAAAAAAACCGATCATACATTTTAGATAAGGCTGTAACGTAACTGTAGCGGTCAGGGGTGGGGCCGGGCTGGCCAACAACTGACGAGAGTGTGAAGTAACACAAGCGTAGACAAAAATTAACCTTTCTCCAGGGAAACAACCCAGGACCTTTATTCAGGGAAACGACCCAGGACTGTTATCCAGGGAAACGACCCAGGACTGTTATCCAGGGAAACGACCTAGGACTTTTATCCAGGGAAACGACCCAGGACTTTTATCCAGGGAAACGACCCAGGACTTTTATTCAGGGAAATGACCCAGGACTTTTATTCAGGGAAATGACCCAGGACTTTTATTCAGGGAAATGACCCAGGACTTTTATCCAGGGAAACGACCCAGGACTTTTATCCAGGGAAACGACCCAGGACTTTTATTCAGGGAAAGAAACCGAATGCGCCACAGCGCTGGGTAACAATAAAACCAAAACAAAACCTAGCTTGTCTTTGAGCCTTTCTACCAGGGTCTTCCAGTCCCTATCTGCTACAGGAGAGCTAAGCTGTTTACCGGCGTATCAAACAAAAGAAAACAGAAATTCACCAGGCTTGTCCTTACTTGGGTCAGGCCTATGGCCAAGTAACGTCCGGTAGGTTCCGGTCCACTTGTGTTCGATATTCCTCCCAGGGTTGGAGGGCCCTGCATGTCAGCTCTTGCTGCTCCAGACCAAAAAAACAGATCTGGCCAAAGCCAGGTTAAAACAGCCACCGCCCAAGCTCCAAGCTAATTAGATTCAGGTGTGTGTAATTAGGCTCTTACACTTCCGGGCCATCCTCTCTCCTGGCCAGCAGATGTAGCCAACGAGCAGGAATATACCGGCCTTCACACACCCACCCTCTCACTCCATCACACACCTCCCTCCTCAGCTCTGATCTGGAGGGCGGGGCGGCCATCGTCCACAGAGCGTTCTGGCGGGACAAGGCGTCTGTATTCCCGTGTTTCGACCCGGACCTGTGAACATCAGAGAAATGGTACTGTTGGAGTGAGAGAAACCACCTGGTCACTCTATCGTTGGTCTCCTTGTTCGTGGACATCCAGACTAGAGGAGCATGGTCCGTGACCAGAGTGAAGTGTCGTCCCAGGAGATAGTACTTTAATTTCTTCAATGCCCACTGCACCGCTAGGTGCTCTTTCTCCACTGTTGAGTATTTGGTTTCTCGGGGCAACAGCTTCCGGCCTCATGTATAGGATGGGATGCTCCTCCCCTCGTACTTCTCGGGACAAGACCGCTCCCACCCCTGTGTCGGAGGCATCAGTCTGGACCACCATCTCTCTCCCAAAGTTTGGCATCACCAAGACAGTTCCGGAGCACATGGCCTCCTTCACGTTCTGGAAGGCTTCTTCTGCTTTGTCAGTCCACCTGACCCTCTTGGGCTGGGTCTTTTTGGTCAGGTCTGTGAGAGGACAAGCTACAGTTGCATAGTTAGGAATGAACCTACTGTAATAGCTGGTTAGCCCCTCAAAGGTTTTTACCTGAGACTTGGTTTGGGGCCGTGGCCATTGTCTCTTGCGGTTTGACGTTGCCCCTCCCGATGGTGAAGCCCAGGTACTCTGCTTCCTCAAGTTCCAGTCTGCATTTTTCTGCATTGGCGGTTAGACCTGCTCTGCGAAGAGCCTCCAAGACAGCGTTGAGTTGCTTCAGGTGAAATTCCCCAGTTAGGGCTGTACACAGTCACGTCATCCAAATATGCTGCTGAGTACTCACTGTGGGGTCTCAGGACCCTATACATTAGCCTCTTAAGAGTAGGCAGAGCTCCATGCAGGCCGAAGGGTAGAACCGTGTAATGGTACGGCCCTGTAGGCCTGGCAAAGGCTGTCTTCTCCCTCGCCTCTGGAGCCATAATCCCCATCTTTAGCATCTGGTCCTCCTCCTTTTTGATGGCCACCCGTCTGGCCTTTGGGATCCTATAAGGCTGTAATGTTACCTTCTTTCCGGGTTTTGTGTGGATGTGGCGGTGCGTCAAGGTTGTGCGCCTTGGGAGGGGAGAGAAGACATCCCTGCTCTGGTCCACTAGTTCCCCCATCTCTTGCCACTTTAGTTTTGTAAGCTGTGTGTTGATGGCAACCTCCTCTCGAGCCGCTTCTGTGGGGACAGGGGACACAGCAACAACAAGCAACGCCTCTCGGGCGTGCCACTTTTTGAGAAGGATAATGTGGTATATTTGCACCGGCTTCCGGCGCCCTGGCTGCTGAACTGTGTAGTTCACTGGACTCATCTTCTCCAGGATCTCATATGGCCCCTTCCAGGTGGCCAGAAACGTATTCTCTGTTGTGGGCACCAGTACCAGAACTCTTTCCCCATTCTGGAATTCTCTGGGTTGAGCTCCTCGATTGAATACCCTCCTCTGCGCTTCTTGGGCTTGGGCCATATGCTCTCTTACCATTGGCCACAACTTCTGCATCCGATCACCCATTTCAGCCACATGGTCGATTAGACTGTGATGCGGGCTTGGCTCAGTCTCCCAGGTCTCCTGTGCAATGTTCAGGAGCCCCCGGGGTTGTCATCCATATAGGAGCTCGAACTGGGAGAATCCAGTGTATGCCTGGGGCACCCCCCTTATGGAAAAGAGCAAATATGGCAACAACTGGTCCCAGTTCCTTCCATCCTGGTCTACTACCTTACGGAGCATGCTCTTTAAGGTTTTATTAAACCTTTCAACTAGCCCATTGGTCTGAGGGTGGTACATAGAAGTACAGATTTGTTTTACCTTCAGCAGCTTGCACAAGTCCTGCATGATCCGGGACATGAAATGGGTCCCCTGGCCGGTGAGGATCTCCTTGGCTATCCCCACTCGGCTGAAGCACATCACCTGTTCCTTGGCAATACCTTTCGAGGTCATAGTTCTTAGGGGAATGGCCTCTGGGTAGCGGGTAGCATAGTCCAGAATCATCAGGATATATTGGTGCCCTTTGGCGGACTTTGCCAGGGGCCCCACCAGGTCCATTATAATTCTCTCAATGGGGACATCTATGATGGGAAGAGAGATTAGAGGATGCAGTGAGTTGGCATTCGGGACATGACCGGCAATAATCCTCTACGGCTCTTACCACTCCCGGCCAGTAGAAGCGCACCAGGACCCTGTCCTTTGTCTTCTGGACCCCCAGGTGGGCTCCAAGGACATGTGAGTGGGCTAACTGCAAAACGATGGGGACATACCGTTTTGGGACCCACAACAGTTCGTTAACTTTAGAATTGACTTCTTTAGCATAACACAACATATATCTTAATATGTCAATTCACTCACCACAGGGAACATCTTTCCATCTACTTCGGTGACCTGGACCCTCGCTTGGGAGAGATTGGGGTCCTCCAGCTGGGCCGTTCCGAACTGGCCTTTGAGGTTGAGACAGAGGGGCCCCTCTCCGAGATCTTCCTCTGACAGCTCCCAGTCTGGGAATGGATCGAAGGGTTGTGTTGATTCTTCCTCTGATCCCGGCTCAGTGGAGGCCCCATCCGGGTTCCCCTGGGCAGCGCAGATGGGGGTTTTCGTCGACCGTTGGAGGGGTTCTTGGGCCGTGGCCTGATTGGTTTTCCTCCGAGCCCCAGGTGGGGGGTGTTCTTGACGGTTGTACCGGGCCTCCTGCTTCCCCTACAGTTTAGAAAAGAGAGGACAATCACGACCCACCAGAATGTACCGGAAGGTTATGGGACTAGGCCTACTTGAAGTTGACAGTTCCCTTGAGGGGTTGTAAGCTTCACCACTGCCTTGGGATATTCCTTGGTGTCCCCGTGAATGCAGGATACTGCCACGGGATTCTCTGGGGTACGATTGTGCTCACCTACTAGCGGTGGCTGTATCAATGACACCATACTGCCAGAGTCCAACAGGGCTTCCGCATCTCTTCCATCTACTTTGGTTGGGATTGTGGGGGCTGGTGTCTCCTTATGGGTCCAACAGGAGGTCATTAAGTGACAGTGCCTCCCCCCAACTGGGTCCATGGAGTGTGCCGTGGGCATGGGTTCATCTCTACTGGGGCAGTTCCAGGCCACGTGTCCCACCTCACCACACTCATAACACCTTCTTCGGTCGGGGTCTAGCCCGACCCTACGTCGTTGGGGTGGCTCCACCTCTGGGAATTTGGCAGACCTATCGGGCGGCAGGAGTCTCTCTGGTTGTTTCCTTAGCTTACCCTTTGGTTTGTCCATCTTACCAGACTTCAGCAGAGCCATTGTGGTCTGGTGGCTTTCCACTAGGAGGACTAGATAGTCCACAGACTGTGGATTGCCCTGGCTGGCCACCTTCTTGGCATCATAGGGAAGGGCCCGTAGGAAGTGGTCCATTACCACTCTCTCCACCACGCTGGGCCCTGCGAGGTCACTCTGCAACCAGGCCTTCGCCAGCCGGATAAGTTAGTGCATCTGGGCCCTAACTGACTGGGCGGAAACAGAGGTCCATTCCTGGAACTTCAAGGCCCGGGTCATTAACGTGTCGCCATACCAGGCAAGAACCGCTGCCTTAACCACCTTGTAGTCTTTAGCCTGGTCATCTGATAGGTCATAGTAGACCCGTTGTGCTTCTCCAGCCAGGAAGGGTTCAAGCAGCCCAGCCCAGGTGTTCTCGGGCCAACCCTCCCATATTGCTGTTCTCTCGAAGGTTAAGAAGTAGGACTCCATGTCATCCGCCTCTGTCATTTTCAACAGGAACCTGCCAGGGTTGGGTCCACTGGCTGGGGTCGCCTGTGGAGCACAAGTGGGGAGGGTCTGTAGTTGGGCCAGCAACCTAGAATTTTGATTCCTTTGCTCCGTAAAGAACTCCCTGTGCATGTTGAACTGGGGCTGGCTGTCATGAGCCAGCTGCTTGATGAAGTTCTCCATGATCTAGTATTACTTCACAGTCTCTTGTCACTTGCCCTTCAAGCCCGGAGGAATAATGCCCTCATTCTCCACCGGTGTAGTGGTCAGGGGTGGGGCTGGGCTGGCCAACAACTGACGAGAGTGTGAAGTAACAAACATAGACAAAATGTAACCTTTCTCCAGGGAAACGACCCAGGACTTTTATTCAGGGAAAGAAACAGAATGCCCCACAGCGCTGGGTAACAATAAAACCAAAACAAAACCTAGCTCATCTTTGAGCCTTTCTACGCGGGTCTTCTCTGCTACCGGACAGCTAAGCTGTTTACCAGCGTATCCAACAAAAGAAAACAGAAATTCACCAGGCTTGTCCTTACTTGGGTCAGGCCTACGGCCAAGTAACGTCCGGTAGGTTCCGGTCCACTTGGGTTCGATATTCCTCCCAGGGTTGGAGGGCCCTGCATGTCAGCTCTTGCTGCTCCAGACCAAAACAACATATCTGGCCAAAGCCAGGTTAAAACAGACACCGCCCAAGCTCCAAGCTAATTAGATTCAGGTGTGTGTAATTAGGCTCTTACACTTCCGGGCCATCCTCTCTCCTGGCCAGCAGATGTAGCCAACGAGCAGGAATATACCGGACTTCACACACCCACCCTCTCAATCCATCACAGTAACAAAAAGGTCAAGGGGTCTGAATACTTTCCGAATGCACTGTACATGTTCCCTTTTGTTTTTTATTTTCATTCAAAGCTATAAAACAAGCTCCACTCTCTACCATACTGACCTTCTTTTCTTTGAGGTAGTATCCAATTGCAAAATTTCTGTCGCCTGTTTCTTTTTCAGATTGGAACCTGAGAGACACAGAGACAAAGAAAGTCCATCACAACATCACATCAATAATGCAACAAACAGAGAGAAAATGTTCTAGAAATGTATTTTTTCTGGCAAATTAAGACATTAGCTAAAACTCACGTGGCATTGCTGAACCCCACGTACTCTTGACCAGCCATCTTCTTGATAAAATCCATCACCTGAGCAGAAAGGATGACTGATATAGTTATTCTGCCATGGCAAAGACACAAGATAATTGCCGGCGTGGTGCGGCATGGTATTGTGTCAAGCTTGTATTGTGTGTTCCACTGTACGGTATTATATTCGTATCAATGTGAGGTGAGATGTATGGAATGATGACATTAATGATATGTACAGTGAGGGGAAAAAAAGTATTTGATTCCATGCTGATTTTGTACGTTTGCCCACTGACAAAAGAAACGATCAGTCTATAATTTCAATGGTAGGTTTATTTGAACAGTGAGAGACAGAATAACAACAAACAAATCCAGAAAAACGCATGTCAAAAATGTTATGAATTGATTTGCATTTTAATGAGGGAAATAAGTATTTGACCCCTCTGCAAAACATGACTTAGTACTTGGTGGCAAAACCCTTGTTGGCAATCACAGAGGTCAGACGTTTCTTGTAGTTGGCCACCAGGTTTCCACACATCTCAGGAGGGATTTTGTTCCACTCCTCTTTGCAGATCTTCTCCTAGTCATTAAGGTTTCGAGGCTGACCTTTGGCAACTCGAACCTTCAGCTCCCTCCACAGATTTTCTATGGGATTAAAGTCTGGAGACTGGCTACCTTAATGTGCTTCTTCTTGAGCCACTCCTTTGTTGCCTTGGCCGTGTGTTATGAGTCATTGTCATGCTGGAATACCCATCCACGACCCATTTTCAATGCCCTGGCTGAGGGAAGGAGGTTCTCGCTAAAGATTTGACGGTACATGGCCCAGTCCATCATCCCTTTGATGCAGTGAAGTTGTCCTGTCCCCTTAGCAGAAAAACATCCCCAAAGCATAATGTTTCCACCTCCATGTTTGACGGTGGGGATGGTGTTCTTGGGGTCATAGGCAGCATTCCTCCTCCTCCAAACACGGCGAGTTGAGTTGATGCCAAAGAGCTCGATTTTGGACTCATCTGACCACAACACTTTCACCCAGTTCTCCTCTGAATCATTCAGATGTTAATTGGCAAACTTCAGACGGGCATGTATATGTGCTTTCTTGAGCAGGGGGACCTTGCGGGCGCTGCAGGATTTCAGTCCTTCACGGCGTAGTGTGTTACCAATTGTTTTCTTGGTGACTATGGTACCAGCTGCCTTGAGATCATTGACAAGATCCTCCCGTGTAGTTCTGGACTGATTCCTCACCGTTCTCATGATCATTGCAACTCCACGAGGTGAGATCTTGCATGGAGCCCCAGGCCGAGGGAGATTGACAGTTATTTTGTGTTTCCTCCATTTGCGAATAATCGCACCAACTGTTGTCACCTTCTCACCAAGCTGCTTGGCGATGGTCTTGTAGCCCATTCCAGCCTTGTGTAGGTCTACAATCTTGTCCCTGACATCCTTGGAGAGCTCTTTGGTCTTGGCCATGGTGGAGAGTTTGGAATCTGATTGATTGATTGCTTCTGTGGACAGGTGTCTTTTATACAGGTAACAAGCTGAGATTAGGAGCACTCCCTTTAAGAGTGTGCTCCTAATCTCACCTCGTTACCTGTATAAAAGACACCTGGCAGCCTGAAATCTTTCTGATTGAGAGGGGGTCAAATACTTTTTCCCTCATTAAAATGCAAATCAATTCATAACAATTTTGACATGCGTTTTTCTGGATTTTTTTGTTGTTATTCTGTCTCTCACTGTTCAAATAAACCTACCATTAAAATTATAGACTGATCATTTCTTTGTCAGTGGGCAAACGTACAAAATCAGCAGGGGATCAAATACTTTTTTCCCTCACTGTATAGTACTCACATAGTCAAACTTCTCTGCTTTGTTTGAGCCAGGCTAGTGACACAGAGAGGGAGGAAGAACAGACATGAACAACAGACTTGTACTGTAAAAGCAACAATAAAAGACAATCACATCAAAGGCCTTTAGCTAAGTCAACCACAGGGTAGCAGCCTTCATAAGGACTTTTAGGATACAGGAGGCTGAAAACTTTACTATAGTATTATTCATGATGTCCCGATATCCAGGACTTTTAGGATACAGGAGGCTGAAAACTTTACTATAGTATTATTAATGATGTCCCAATATCCAGGACTTTTAGGATACAGGAGGCTGAAAACTTTACTATAGTATTATTCATGATGTCCCAATATCCAGGACTTTTAGGATACAGGAGGCTGAAAACTTTACTATAGTATTATTCATGATGTCCCAATATCCAGGACTTTTAGGATACAGGAGGCTGAAAACTTCACTATAGTATTATTCATGATGTCCCAATATCCTACTAACGTTGTACAAGGTGACAAAAGCAAGCAGTTTTCACAGTGTGTACGGTAGATAGCGGCTTGTAAAGATAACGGTAATGATTTTCATGAAGTCTCAGCAGTTTACAGACACTTTCAATAGTTACACCTGTTCCAAATCAACAGCACCTAGTCTGAAACAGGCACATTATACAGTGGGGAAAAAAAGTATTTAGTCAGCCACCAATTGTGCAAGTTCTCCCACTTATCTCAACCCCATAGAAAATCTTTGGAGGGAGTTGAAAGTCTGTGTTGCCCAGCGACAGCCCCAAAACATCACTGCTCTAGAGGAGATCTGCATGGAGGAATGGACCAAAATACCAGCAACAGTGTGTGAAAACCTTGTGAAGACTTACAGAAAACGTTTGACCTGTGTCATTGCCAACAAAGGGTATATAACAAAGTATTGAGAAACTTTTGTTATTGACCAAATACTTATTTTCCACCATAATTTGCAAATAAATTCATAAAAAATCCTACAATATGATTTTCTGGATTTATTTTTCTCATTTTGTCTGTCATAGTTGACGTGTACCTATGATGAAAATTACTGTCACGATCGTCTAAGGAGGAGGACCAATGCGCAGCGTTGAAGGTGAACATATTTATATTTATTTAATGATCACACGATCAAAACAACAAACGAAAAACGTGACGTCTATGGTTTCAACACAAACCAACACGAACAAGAAACCACAAACACAAAGTGAAAGACAGACAGTTAAATATGGCTCCCAATCAGTGGCGGCTCCTGAAAAAATTCTCAGGAGGGGCAATTTTTCTGATGATTTAGGTGACCTACACACTTGCACGAGTCCGTGCACGCGATTCCAGATATCTTTACCTCTGAATAAACTGCCTTTATTATACCATATCCACCCTGTCCAAAGTCTCTACTTGGTCTCAGTTCTCCAGTAAACTTGTGATTATCAACAGTACACAACGGTAACAAACAATTGGGGGAACTCACGGGGCAGATAGTAACCACTTAAAAGGAAGCGATTCCCAAACCTTCCATAACAAAGCCATCACCTACAGAGAGATGAACTTGGAGAAGAGTCCCCTAAGTAAGCTTGTCCTGGGCCTCTGTTCACAAACACAAACAGACCCCACACAGCCCCAGGACAACAACAACAACAACAACAACAACACAATTAGACCCAACCAAATCATGAGAAAACAAAAAGAGAATTACTTGACACATTGGAAAGAACAAACAAAAAAACAGAGCAAACTAGAATGCTATTTGGCCCTAAACAGAGAGTACACAGTGGCAGAATACCTGACCACTGTGACTGACCCAAACTTAAGGAAAGCTTTGACTATGTACAGACTCAGTGACCATAGCCTTGCTATTGAGAAAGGCCGCCGTAGGCAGACCTGGCTCTCAAGAGAAGACAGGCTATGTGCACACTGCCCACAAAATGAGGTGGAAACTGAGCTGCACTTCCTAACCTCCTGCCAAATGTATGACCATATTAGAGACACATATTTCCCTCAGATTACAGCGATCCACAAAGAATTCGAAAACAAACCCAATTTTGATAAACTCCCTTATCTACTGGGTGAAAAACCACAGTGTGCCATCACAGCTGCAAGATTTGTGACCTGTTGCCACAAGAAAAGGGCAACCAGTGAAGAACAAACACCATTGTAAATACAACCCATATTTATGTTTATTTATTTTCCCATTTGTACTTTAACTATTTGCACATTGTAACAACACTGTATATATACATAATATGACATTTGAAATGTCTTTATTCTTTTGAAACTTCTGAGTGTAATGTTTACTGTTAATATTTATTGTTTATTTCACTTTTGTTTACTATCTACTTCCCTTGCTTTGGCAATGTTAACACACGTTTCCCTTGCCAATAAAGCCCTTAAATTGAATTGAATTGATAGTAAGGTCGCAATGACACAGAAAGCAGTTCAATGTCGGGGTACAGAGTCGCTCTCTTACCAGGATCGCGGTCCGCTCTGACCAGGGTGAAGGTGGCCGGCTCCACTTCTCTGTCCGGGACTCATCCAGCCAAGTCTCCCAGCTGTATTGGGATTCAGCTGCCAGCAGCGTTTTCATTATTTAGTCCGTTCGTAGCGGGTATGTACACGATCAACAAGATCAGTCCAAAACCAACCACTGGAAATCCATGGTTGGCAGAATGTTTGTAAACTAAGTCTACAAATTAAAAACATAAAATAACGCCGCACTGCAGGTCGCAACAGAGACGCTGCTAGCCGCCATTGTCTTAGTTACGTTCAACGTTACGTCACGTATGACGAAAGCGCGTAAGTGCATGCCCACAGACACCCATAGAGAATGTATTGAAAGCTTTGAAATGTGAAAAAAATAGATTTTACATGACAGGCTATGAGAGACTTCTGGGCGATTTTCAACTTGACTGAAATCGCCCCAAAAACGGGCGGGGCCATTTGAAGCACGACTTTAGCCTGATTTGACATTTAGTGGCTGGCAGATCAGACGTGAACACTGATAACTGCTGTTGCCGTGATATAATTGATTAGAAAAAAAATCCCTTCCTTTTCCCGTTTGGCAGTGCGTCGCCCATATCGCCCTATTGAACAAGCCGTCCCTGCTCCCAATCAGAGACAACCAGCTGACACTCGTTGCCTCTGATTGGGAGTCACTCAGGCCAACATAGAAATACAAACATAGAATTTCACACCCTGGCTCAACATAACAGTGTCCCCAGAGCCAGGGCGTGACAGTACCCCCCCCTAAAGGCGCGGACTCCGACCGCGCCAACTAAATACCACAGGGGAGGGACCGGGTGGGCACTCCGCCTAGGCGGCGGATCCGGCTCCGGGCATGATCCCCACTCCTTCTCTAACCCCCCAAAGTACCCCTGGTCCGATCTGGCCCTGCTGACCAGAGCTGAACTGAACACTGGTGGAGCGGATTGCTCTAGCTCCGGCGTGACGCAGCACCTGACCGGTGCCGGACCCGCCACCGGTGGAACAGGCACGGGCCGTGCCGGACTGACGACGCACACCACTGGCTTGGTGTGGGGAGCAGGAGCGGGCCGGACCGGGCTGACGAAGCTCACCACTGACTTGGTGCGGGGAGCAGGAACGGGCCGTGCCGGGCTGACGACGCGCACCACTGACTTGGTACGGGGAGCAGGAACGGGCCGGACCGGGCTGACGAAGCTCACCACTGACTTGGTGCGGGGAGCAGGAACGGGCCGTGCCGGGCTGACGACGCGCACCACTGACTTGGTACGGGGAGCAGGAACGGGCCGGACAGGGCTGACGAAACGCACCACAGACTTGGTGCGGGGAGCAGGAATGGGCCGGACTGGGCTGGCGACGCGCACCACAGACTTGGTGCGGAGAGCAGGAATGGGCCGGACAGGGCTGACGAAACGCACCACTGACTCGGTGCGGGGAGCAGGAATGGGCAGGGCCGAGCTGGCGATGCGCACCGTAGACTTGGTGCGAGTGGCAGGAACAGGCCGGACCGTACTGGGAACACACACCACTGGCCCTACGTGGGGATCAGGAACAGGCCGGACCGGACTGGCAACACACGCCAGTACCTCTCGCCGTGCCTCTACATCTTCCACCCCCTCTTCGACCAGTGGCCCCCGTAACCTGGCGGCCTCCTCTGCCAATCCGCTGGGCCGCTCTGCCGCGGTCTCCTGCTGGCCCGTCGTCAACGGCGTTAGCCCCCCCCTAAAAAATTTCTGGGCGTCTCCCCTACCCGTGGACCAGGTCTCCATGTCCCTCGCCAGCCTTTCGCCCTTCTGCCACAATGTCAAGCCCTTCTCTTCCTCACTCGGCTTGACCCAGTCGAGGAGGCGAAGGAGATCTGTTAGGGATCTCCCTGGCGATGGCTCCTGGACACGCTGCTTGGTCACATCTTGGTGGTTTCTTCTGTCACGATCGTCTAAGGAGGAGGACCAATGCGCAGCGTTGAAGGTGAACATATTTATATTTATTTAATGATCACACGATCAAAACGAAAAACATGACGTCTATGGTTTCAACACAAACCAACACGAACAAGAAACCACAAACACAAAGTGAAAGACAGACAGTTAAATATGGCTCCCAATCAGAGACAACCAGCTGACACTCGTTGCCTCTGATTGGGAGTCACTCAGGCCAACATAGAAATACAAACATAGAATTTCACACCCTGGCTCAACATAACAGTGTCCCCAGAGCCAGGGCGTGACAATTACAGGCCTCTCTCATCTTTTTAAGTGGGAGAACTTGCACAATTGGTGGCTGACTAAATACTTTTTTTCCCCACTGTATATCACTGATCAATCACTGATAGGGCGGATTTGCTTGTGAAATAACATTATTTTACTGTATACAAATTCAATAGCATAGCAGTGATGGCCCAAGTGACCCCAAATATCATATGTCAATACATGTCCTGTATTGGGGTATAAATAAGATTGTTTGCTTCACAAAGATGTATTACACCGTAACATTTCCATTTCAGTATATCTATTCAATTGAAGATGAATTCTGAACAGATAAGCAGAAATCCAGACTTAAACCCTCCTGTTATTCCTTCAGGCTATCTCGGTCTTCCTTATCTAACTCCCACTTGGAGCCCCATTCGTCTTTATATATAATATATCCTTCCCTGCTGTCTATCTGCCTTCTCTCTCTCTCTGACTGAGATAGCGACACAAGCATGCACACACACCTCTCCAAAGAGCCACAATAATTGGCTATGCTGATGCTCCCACCCATCTCAGGGTCCCTCCCCCCGCACGGTGTGAGGGTGAGAGGAGAGCAGTAAAGATGGCACAACCAGGTTCAAAGCGTTAAGAACACACAACACTACTGACGGCACTACTGACTACCCTACTGACTACCCTACTGAATACACTACTGACGACACCACTGACTACACTACTGACGACCCTACTGACGACACTACTGACTACACAACTGACTACACTACTGACGACACAACTGACGACACTACTGACTACCCTAATGACGACACTACTGACTACCCTACTGACGACACCACTGACTACACCACTGACGACCCTACTGACGACACTACTGACTACACTACTGACTACACTACTGACGACACAACTGACGACACTACTGACTACCCTAATGACGACACTACTGACTACCCTAATGACGACACTACTGATGTACTGACGACACTACTGACAACACTACTGACTACCCTAATGACGACACTACTGACTACCCTAATGACGACACTACTGATGTACTGACTACACTACTGACGACACAACTGACGATACTATTGACAACACTACTGACGGCACTACTGACGACACCAGTGACACTACTGACGACCCCACTGACGACACTACTGACGACACTACTGATGACACCACTGACAACACTACTGACTACACTACTGACGACACTACTGACGACACCACTGACGACACTACTGACGACACTACTGATGACACCACTGACTACACTACTGCCGACACCACTGACTACACCACTGACTACACTACTGCCGACACCACTGACTACACCACTGACGACACTACTGACGACACTACTGACAACACTACTGACAACCCTAATGACGACACTACTGACGTACTGACGACACAACTGACGACACCACTGACGAAACCACTGACGACGACACTACTGACTACACTACTGACGACACAACTGACGACACTACTGACGACACTACTGACGACACTACTGACGACACTACTGACTACCCTAATGACGACACTACTGACTACCCTAATGACGACACTACTGACTACACTACTGACGACACTACTGATGTACTGACGGCACTACTGACGACACCACTGACACTACTGACGACACTACTGCCGACACCACTGACTACACCACTGACGACACTACTGACGACACTACTGACAACACTACTGACAACCCTAATGACGACACTACTGACGTACTGACGACACAACTGACGACACCACTGACGAAACCACTGACGACGACACTACTGACTACACTACTGACGACACAACTGACGACACTACTGACGACACTACTGACTACACTACTGACGACACAACTGACGACACTACTGACTACCCTAATGACGACACTACTGACTACACTACTGACAACACTACTGATGTACTGACGGCACTACTGACACTACTGACGACACCACTGACGACACTACTGACGACACTACTGATGACACCACTGACGATACTACTGACAACACTACTGACTACATTACTGACGACACTACTGACGACACCACTGACACCACTGACTACACCACTGACGACACTACTGACGACACTACTGACAACACTACTGACAACCCTAATGACGACACTACTGACGTACTGACGACACCACTGACGAAACCACTGACGACACCACTGACGACACCACTGACGACACTACTGACGAGACTACTGACGAGACCACTGACTACACTACTGACTACACTACTGACGACAGTACTGACGACACCACTGACGACACTACTGACGACACCACTGACGACACTGCTGTACATGTGACTACTATCTACAGCCATGCCAGATAGACCCGGGTTCAAATACTGTTCGAAATAATTTCAAATACTTTAGCTGTGTTTGACTGAGCTTGACTGTTGCAATGGGACCAATAGAAAAGTCAGAGAAGAGCACAGCCCGCCCACCTGGCAGCCTAAAGCAAATGTTTATGTTTTGTGTTTGAAAGATTTCCAATTTTAACCCAAGACTAGCGTCAGGGCCAAAGCCAAACTAGGTCAGTGTTGGGTCCAAGGCTGGCAGGGTGACCTGGATCTTGGTTTTGTGTTTGTATTTGTTTTACATGTCAAACACTGAACCGTCCGTGGGTTTCAACAAAACGTGGATTCAGAAACCATTGAACCGTCCTTGGGTTACAACAAACGTGGATTCAGAAACCATTGAGCCGTCCTTGGGTTACAACAGACGTGGATTCAGAAACCATTGAACCGTCCTTGGGTTACAACAAACGTGGATTCAGAAACCATTGAACCGTCCTTGGGTTACAACAAACGTGGATTCAGAAACCATTGAGCAGTGACTTATATCACCGACACATCATCGAGGGTGGGATGTTTTTACGGGACGATTCAGTCAGCCAGGATATACTCATACCATGTATACGGTGGTCTGCAGGCTGTCTTGCCTATTTACCTTGATAAGAGAACTGATGACAATGGCTCCAGCATTCACCATGGGGTTGTGGGGTTTGTCTAGGCACACAATTATCAGGGTTAAAACAGAGTTAACACAGTATATTCCTAGAAGTAGATGCTTTAGTATTTTGGTAGAAAGTAGAAGATAAACTATCTTGTCAACTTGAACTCACGTGGCCTTAACTTGTACAGAAATCAACTCATATTCTTCCACCAAACAAACAAAAAAAGCCATACAATACAGCAAGGCTTCCCTTACCCACCATCCTCATCCAGGTAGAGCTTGTTGAACTTGAGTCCACTGGGCTCCATCCCTACGTAGCGGTGTACCTTCTCTGTCCCAGCCTCGTGGATGGCCACAGCATACTCCAGAGGCTTCACACACGACTGGAGACAGAAGGGCTGCTTGGTTTCTCCTACTGAGTGTCTGGGGGGAGAGGAGGGAGGAGACAGGGAAACACAGGGGAGGAGAGGGAGAGGAGGGAGGAGACATGGAAACACAGGGGAGGAGAGGGAGAGGAGGGAGGAGACATGGAAACGGGAGGAGAGGGAGAGGAGGGAGGAGACATGGAAACACAGGGGAGGAGAGGGAGAGGAGGGAGGAGACAGGGAAACACAGGGGAGGAGATGGAGAGGAGGGAGGAGACAGGGAAACAGGGAGGAGAGGGAGAGCAAGGAGGAGACATGGGAAACACACAGGGGAGGAGAGGGAGAGGAGGGAGGAGACAGGGAAACACAGGGGAGGAGAGGGAGAGGAGGGAGGAGACAGGGAAACACAGGGGAGGAGAGGAGAGGGGGAGGAGACAGGGAAACAGGGGGGAAGGGAGAGGAGGAGGGACAGGGAAACAGGGGAGGAGAGGAGAGGAGGAGGAGACAGGGAAAACAGGGGGAGAGGGAGAGGGAGGGAGGAGAGGAAACACAGGGAGGAGAGGAGAGGAGGGAGGAGAGGGAAACACAGGGGAGGAGAGGGAGAGGAGGAGGGAGGAACAGGGAAAGGGGAGGGAGGGAGGAGGGGAGGAGAAGGAAAACAGGGAGGAGAGGAAGAGGGGGGGAGACAGGGAAACAGGGGAGGAGAGGAGAGAGGGAGGAGACAGGGAAAAAGGGGAGGGAGGGAGAGAGGGGAGACAGGGAAACAAGGGAGGAAGGGGGGAGGGAGGGAGGAGAGAAGGGAAAAAAAAGGGAAGGAAAAGGGACGGGGGGAGGGAGAGGGGAGGAAAACAGGAAAACAGGGGAGGAGAGGAGAGGAGGAGGAAGGGAAAAAGGGGAAAGGGGAGGGAGGGCGGGGGAGGAGAGGAGAGGGAGGAGAATGGAAAACAGGGAGGAGAGGGAGAGGAGGGAGGAGGAAGGGAAAACAGGGGAGGGAGGAGAGAGGGGGAGAGGGAAAACGGGGGGAGAGGGAGAGAGGAGGAGAAGGAAAACAGGAGAGAGGGAGAGGGGAGGAGACCAGGGAAACAGGGGAGGAGAGGGAGAGGAGGAGGAGACAGGGAAACACAGGGGGGGGGAGGAGGAGGAGACGGGAACACAGGGGAGGAGAGGGAGAGGAGGGAGGAGCCAGGGAACACAGGGGAGGAGGAGAGGAGGAGAGAGACAGGGAGGAAACCAGGGGAGGAGAGGGAGAGGAGGGAGGAGACAGGGAAAAAACAGGGGAGGAGAGGGAGAGGAGGGAGGAGACAGGAAACAGGGGAGGAGAGGGAGAGGAGGAGGAGACAGGGAAACACAGGGAGGAGAGGAGGAGAGGAGGAGAGACAGGGAAACACAGGGGAGGAGAGGGAGAGGAGGGAGGAGACAGGGAAAAAAGGGAGGAGAGGGAGAGGAGGGAGGAAGAAGGGAAACACAGGGAGGAGAGGGAGAGGAGGGAGGAGGAGGGAAACAGGGGAGGAGAGGGAGAGGAGGGAGGAGACAGGGAACACAGGGGAGGAGAGGGAGGGAGGGAGGAGACAGGGAAACACAGGGGAGGAGAGGAGAGGAGGGAGGAGACAGGGAACACAGGGGAGGAGAGGAGAGGAGGGAGGAGACGGGAAACACAGGGGAGGGAGAGGGAGAGGAGGGAGGAGACGGAAAACGGGGGAGGGAGGGAGAGGAGGGAGACAGGGGAGACAGGGAAACAGGGGAGGAGAGGGGAGGGGGAGGGAGGAGACAGGGAACACAGGGGAGGAGAGGGAGAGGAGGGAAGGAGACATGGAAACAAGGGGAGAGAGGGAGAGGGGGGAGCAGAGGGAGGGAGGAGAGAGGGAGGAGAGGAAACACAGGGGAGGAGAGGGAGAGGAGGGGAGGAGGGAGACAGGGAAACACAGGGGAGGAGAGGGAGAGGAGGGAGGAGACAGGGAAACACAGGGAGGAGAGGGAGGGGGAGAGGAGGGAGGAGACAGGGAAAACACAGGGGAGGAGAGGGAGAGGAGGGAGGAGACAGGGAAACACAGGGGAGGAGAGGGAGAGGAGGGAGGAGACAGGGAAAACAGGGGAGGAGAGGGAGAGGAGGGAGGAGACAGGGAAACACAGGGGAGGAGAGGGAGAGGAGGGAGGGAGGAGACAGGGAAACACAGGGGAGGAGAGGGAGAGGAGGGAGGAGACAGGGAAACACAGGGGAGGAGAGGGAGAGGAGGGAGGAGACAGGGAAACACAGGGGAGGAGAGGAGGAGAGGAGGGAGGAGGGGACAGGGAAACACAGGGGAGGAGAGGGAGAGGAGGGAGGAGACAGGGAAACAGGGGAGGAGAGGGAGAGGAGGGAGGAGACAGGGAAACACAGGGGAGGAGAGGGAGAGGAGGGAGGAGACAGGGAAACACAGGGGAGGAGAGGGAGAGGGGAGGGAGAGAAGGGAAACACAGGGAGGAGAGGGAGAGGAGGGAGGAGACAGGAAACACAGGGAGGAGAGGGAGGAGGAGAGGGAGGGAGGAGGAGACAGGGAAACACAGGGGAGGAGAGGGAGAGGAGGGAGGAGACAGGGAAACACAAAGGGGAGGAGAGGGAGAGGAGGGAGGAGACAGGGAACACAGGGGCGGAGAGGGAGAGGAGGGAGGAGACAGGGAAACACAGGGGAGGAGAGGGAGAGGAGGGAGGAGACAGGGAAACAGGGGAGGAGAGGAGAGGAGGGAGGAGACAGGGAAACACAGGGGAGGCGGGGAGGAGGGAGGGGGAGGAGACAGGGGACAACACGAGGGGAGGGAGACGGGAGGAGGAGGGAGGAGAACAGGGAAACACCACAGGGGAGGACGAGGGGCGAGGAGGCTAGAGGAGGAGGAAGGAGCAGGGGAAACAGGGGAAGGGAGGTAGAGGAGGGAGGAGACAGGGAAACACAGGGGAGGAGAGGGAGAGGAGGGAGGAGAAGCCCTAGTTGTCAGCATAAGTCACTATTTCACATTCAGCTATGTTTTTCAATTACTTTTAATATGCCAGACATCCATACATACCTCTGTCCATCCACAGTACACAGAGACACACCCCAGAGATCAGGACTGTTGTACATACCTCTGTACATCCACAGTACACAGAGACACACCCCAGAGATCAGGACTGTTGTACATACCTCTGTCCATCCACAGAGACACACCCCAGAGATCAGGACTGTTGACATACCTCTGTCCATCCACAGAGACACACCCCAGAGATCAGGACTGTTGTACATACCTCTGTCCATCCACAGTACACAGAGACACACCCCAGAGATCAGGACTGTTGTACATACCTCTGTCCATCCACAGTACACAGAGACACACCCCAGAGATCAGGACTGTTGTACATACCTCTGTCCATCCACAGTACACAGAGACACACCCCAGAGATCAGGACTGTTGTACATACCTCTGTCCATCCACAGTACACAGAGACACACCCCAGAGATCAGGACTGTTGTACATACCTCTGTCCATCCACAGTACACAGAGACACACCCCAGAGATCAGGACTGTTGTACATACCTCTGTCCATCCACAGTACACAGAGACACACCCCAGAGATCAGGACTGAACTTGGCCAGGTGGGGAATGTAGACTGCTACCTGGATCCAGGAAGTTCAGACATACCATCAGAACAGGTGCATGTTTCTAGCACCAACAGTGCAGTAATATCTAGCAATACAATATCAGAATGAGCAATATCAGAGTCTGGAATACAGTGTGTAGACATTATTCAAGTGACCAGTGTTCCATTATTCAAATGACCAGTGTTCCATTATTCAAGTGACCAGTGTTCCATTATTAAAGTGACCAGTGTTCCATTATTCAAGTGACCAGTGTTCCATTATTCAAGTGACCAGTGTTCCACTATTAAAGTGACCAGTGTTCCACTATTCAAGTGACCAGTGTTCCACTATTCAAGTGACCAGTTTTCCATTATTCAAGTGATCAGTGTTCCATTATTAAAGTGACCAGTGTTCCACTATTCAAGTGACCAGTTTTCCATTATTCAAGTGACCAGTGTTCCATTATTAAAGTGACCAGTGTTCCATTATTCAAGTGACCAGTGTTCCATTATTCAAGTGACCAGTGTTCCACTATTCAAGTGACCAGTGTTCCATTATTCAAGTGACCAGTGTTCCATTATTCAAGTGACCAGTGTTCCACTATTCAAGTGACCAGTGTTCCATTATTCAAGTGACCAGTGTTCCATTATTCAAGTGACCAGTGTTCCATTATTCAAGTGACCAGTGTTCCATTATTCAAGTGACCAGTGTTCCATTATTCAAGTGACCAGTGTTCCACTATTCAAGTGACCAGTGTTCCATTATTCAAGTGACCAGTGTTCCATTATTCAAGTGACCAGTGTTCCATTATTCAAGTGACCAGAGTTCCATGTCTATGTATTGGGCCAAAATAAATTACACGTTAAACAACTACTACTGTACACGTTAAACAACTACTACTGTACACGTTAAACAACTACTACTGTACACGTTAAACAACTACTACTGTACACATTAAACAACTACTACTGTACACGTTAAACAGCTACTACTGTTCACGTTAAACAACTACTACTGTACACGTTAAACAACTACTACTGTACACGTTAAACAACTACTACTGTACACGGTTAAACAGCTACTACTGTACACGTTAAACACTACTACTACTGTACACGTTAAACAACTACTACTGTACACGTTAAACAACTACTACTGTAACGTTAAACAACTACTACTGTACACGTTAAGCAACTACACTGTACACGTTAAACATACTATCTGTACATGTTAAACAACTACTACTGTACACGTTAACAACACTATAGTACACGTTAAACAACTACTAATGTACACGTTAAACAAACTACTACTGTACACGTTAAACAACTACTACTGTACACGTTAAGCATACTAAACTGTACACGTTAAACAATACTTACTGTTCACGTTAAAAACTACTACTGTTCACGTTAAACAACTACTACTGTACATGTTAAACAACTACTACTGTACACGTTAAAAACTACTACTGTACACGTTAAACAACTACTACTGTTCACGTAAACAACTACTACTGTTCCGTTAAACAAACTCTACTGTCACGTAAACAACATACATACACGTTAAACAACTACTACTGTACACGTTAAACAACTACTACTGTACACGTTAAACAACTACTACTGTACACGTTAAACAACTACTACTGTACACGGGAAACAACTACTACTGTACACGTTAAACAACTACTACTGTACACGTTAAACAACTACTACTGTTCACGTTAAACAACTACTACTGTACACGTTAAACAGCTACTACTGTACACGTTAAACAGCTACTACTGTACACGTTAAACAACTACTACTGTACACGTTAAACAACTACTACTGTACACGTTAAACAACTACTACTGTACACGTTAAACAACTACTACTGTACACGTTAAACAACTACTACTGTACACGTTAAACAACTACTACTGTACACGTTAAACAACTACTACTGTACACGGGAAACAAATATACTTACATGTCCGTCATGGTTTTTCTGGACGGTGTCGTAGATTTTATCTATCTTTGCTACAAAGGAATCAAACTCAGGGATGATGAACTTCTTTCTGAAAGCCTGGATCAGAAGCACTATGTTCCCACCAACACACCTGAGGATTGGTACAACAACAAGAACACTTTACTAGAACAAGAATACTGAAATAAGGAAATGAATACCCACCAGGGCTCTCACCCCTCCCTGTAGGCTGTCATTCTGAGGGAAGTATATATATTTTCTTTTGTATTTTATGACCTTATGTTTTTTTTACCCCATATGTAACTCTGTGTTGTTGTTTTTATCGCACTTCTTTGCTTTATCTTGGCCAGGTCGCAGTTGTAAATGAGAACTTGTTCTCAACTGGCTTAACTGGTTAAATAAAGGTGAAATAAAAAATAAAAAAATAAAAACTCCCTGGTAACCTAAAAATGTACGTTCCCAGACCAGACACATTTTTCACTTACTTTCTCAGAAGGTTTACAAAACGTTCAGTTTTACCGGAAACGTATAGCTTCGTTCCCAGAACCAATAGCAACCTCCAAGGAACTCAATGTGCTAGCTGGGTAATTCTGCACAGTAGGTTACTCATAGACGTTGAGAAAAGTTAAAGGCCTATCATTTGTCTTTGTTGTGAGCAAAGAGGTGGGTTGGAAATAATAAGGAATTAGTGAGGCTGTTAATAGGATACAAGGAGTATAATTATCTGTGTGTGTCACAGAGAATAAAGTTCACATTCTCACATAACACTTAGGAAGTGTTACTCGGTACTGCCTCAAAGGAATCGTCGGGAAAGTAATCTTATCTTTTCACAAAAACTGATAGCAGTTTCTTAAAGCGACAGTACACAACTGTAATTTGAATCAAATAAGTAAGATAATAAGTAAACATACACTGACTCCTGACTCCATAGTTATGAATCAGAGTCATGGTGTGGGCATGACTAGTCTAAATGTCTCTCATTTTGGCTGTGTGTATGTGTGGCCCCAAGGTCCAAGGCAGCTGGCATCTATCAATCCGAGTCGTTCCCTGCCCTGTAGCCCCCAACAAGACTACCCACCTACTGCCCTCATGCAGGCTAGTGCACTAAGAGCACACATGCTGTTGTCTCTTGCTAACTCTTAAACATGACTATGTATTGAAGATTAAATGACAGCGAGAGAGGAGCTGAATGTCTGTCTGTCTGTGTGTGTGTGTGTGTGTGTGTGTGTGTGTGTGTGTGTGTGTGTGTGTGTGTGTGATACAAAAAGAGACAGTAAGAGGTAAAGAGTGTTAGTAGAAAGTAGACTAAAAACGCCTGGAGTATAAGAGGAATGTGATAGGGGTCAGTAATTTAAAGAGCTAAGAGATTGAAGTAAGAGGAGACGGAAAATGTGATGTGTGTTAGAGGGGTAGGAGGTAGAGAGGGTTAGTAGAGTGGTGAGGTTGAGGTAGAGGTAGAGAGGAGTAGAGAGTTTAGAGTAGGGTTAGAGAGGGGTTAGAAGGGTAAGAGTTAGAAGGGGTAGAGAGTTAGATGAGTTAGGAGGTATGGAGTAGAGAGGTTAGAGAGAGGTGTAGATGAGAGGTTAGAGAGGGTGGGGTGGATTAGAGGGGTTTAGGGGTGGTTAGAGAGGGGTTAGAGAGGGTTAGGAGGTAGAGAGGGTAGAGGGGGTAAGAGGTGTAGAGAGGGTAGTAGAGAGGGTTAGTTAGATGAGGGTGAAGTTAGAGTAGAGAGGGGTTAGAGAGGGTTAGAGGAGGGTAGAGAGAGGTTTAGAGGGGTTAGAGAGGGGTGAGAGAGGGGTTAGAGAGGGTTGTGAGAGGTAGAGAAGGGTTAGAGAGAGGGTAGGAGGTTAGAGTAGGGTAGAGGGGTAGTAGAGAGGTGTTAGAGAGGGTAGAGAGGGGTTAGAGAGGGTGTAGAGAGGGGGTTAGAGAGGGAGGGGTTAGAGTAGGGTAGAGAGGTAGAGAGGGTTAGAGAGGGGTAGAGAGAGAGGTTAGAGGAGGGTTAGAGAGGTAGAGGTAGAGAGGGTAGTAGGTTAGAGGGTTAGAGAGGGTTAGAGAGGGAGGTAGAGAGGTAGAGAGGGTTAGGGGGTAGAGAGGTTAGAGAGGGGTTAGAGAGGGGTAGAGAGTGGTTAGAGAGGGTTAGAGTAGAGGGGTGGTAGAGAGGGTAGGAGGTAGAGGGGTAGAGAGGGGTAGAGAGGGGTTAGAGAGGGTAGAGAGAGGGTTAGAGAGAGGTGTAGAGGGGGTGTTAGTAGGGTAGAGGGGTTAGAGAGGGTTAGAGAGGGTTAGAGAGAGGTAGAGAGAGGTAGAGGGGGTAACAATAATCGTTATTTATTGTGTTACTATTTTCTATTTTTGTTAGCTAATTTCCTTACTTTTTAACTCTGCATTGTTGGGAAAGTGCTCGTTAGTAAAGTAGAGAGGCAGATAGACCTTGGGTTAAGGGGGAGGGTCTTAGATCCAACTAGCCGACAAGATAGGTGACTCACTTGTGGAAGAGTTCCCGGTCCATCATGACGTCATGAAAAGATTCCGATACGGAGCGGCGCAGCTTGTCCATACAGTCCTTCAGTCGGGGGTCTGATGTATTAAGACCTGTCCTCTTCAGAGCCTGATCAAATCAAACTTTATTTAAAGCGCATTTAAAACCGCAAGACACTTTACGGTCAAATCAATACAATGAAAGGCAATAAAATAGCATAGATATTATACAAGGGTTTGGTTAGGGAGAAAGGAAATGAATTATGGCAACATCAAAACAAAAAATGTACTGTAAATAAAACTGCCTCGTCTTGTCGAGTATACACCTTACAAAGTTATTAATACTGTTATGAGAGGCACTTGGATGTGAACTAACGTCATAGGAACTAACTTTAACTCATCTTGTGACCCACTGACAGAGATGAGCCTTGTTCCAAGTTGAGCACTTCATTTTTATAATTAAGCTGGGTGAAGCTCGCTTGGGTATGCTTTCAGTCACTTGTTGCGAGTGTTTTGATTCAAACAGCACAGTACTGTTGGTGCAATATGAAACAAAGATCAAATCAGAGCCTTGACTATCTAAAGTGCATTCGGAAAGTATTCAGACCCCTTGACTTTTTACAGCCTTATTCTAAAATGGATTAAATAAAACATTTTCCTCATCAATCTACACACAACACCCCCATAATGACAAAGTGAAAACAGGTTTTTAGAAATTCTTGGAAATGTATTACAAATAAAAAACTGAAATACCTTATTTACATAAGTATTCAGACCCTTTGCTATGAGACTCGAAATTGAGCTCAGGTGCATCCTGTTTCCATTGATCATCCTTGAGATGTTTCTACAACTTGATTGGAGTCCACCTGTGGTACATTCAATTGATTGGACATGATTTGGAAAGGCACTCACCTGTCTATATAAGGTCCCAGAGTTGACAGTGCATGTCAGAGCAGAAACCAAGCCATGATGTCGAAGGAATTATCAATAGAGCTCCGAGACAGGATTGTGTCGAGGCACAGATCTGGGGAAGGGTACCAAAACATTTCTGCAGCATTGAAGGGCCCCAAGAACACAGTGGCCTCCATCATTCTTACATGGAAGAAGTTTGGAACCACCAAGACTCTTCCTAGAGCTGGCCGCCCGGCCAAACTGAGCAATCGGGGAAGAAGGGCCTTGGTCAGGGAGGTGACCAAGAACCCGATGGTCACTCTGACAGAGCTCCAGAGTTCCTCTGTGGAGGTGGGAGAAACTTCCAGAAGGTCAACCATCTCTGCAGCACTCCACCAATCAGGCCTTTATGTTAGAGTGGCCAGATGGAAACCACTCCTCAGTAAAAGGCACATGACAGCACTCTTGGAGTTTGCCAGAAGGCACCTAAAGACACTCAGACCATGAGAAACCAAGATTGAACTCTTTGGCCTGAATGCCAAGCGTCACGTCTGGAGGAAACCTGGCACCATCCCTACGGTGAAGCATGGTGGTGGCAGCGTCAAGCTGTGGGGAAGTTTTTCAGCGGCAGGGACTAGGAGACTAGTCAGGATCGAGGGAAAGATGAACGGAGCAAAGTACAGAGAGATCCTTGCTGAAAACCTGCTCCAAAGCGCTCAGGACCTCAGACTGGGGTGAAGGTTCACCTTCCAACAGGACAACGACCCTAAGCACACAGCCAAGACAACGCAGGAGTGGCTTCGGGAAAAGTCTCTGAATGTTCTTGAGTGGCCCAGCCAGAGCCCGTATTTGAACCCGTTTCAACATCTCTGGAGAGACCTGAAAATAGCAGTGCAGCGACACTCCCCATCCAACCTGACAGAGCTTGAGAGGATCTGCAGAGAAGAATGGGAGAAACTCCCCAAATATAGGTGTGCCAAACTTGTAGCGTCATACCCAAGAAGACTTGAGGCTGTAATCACTGCCAAAGGTGCTTCAACAAAGTACTGAGCAAAGGGTCTGAATACTTATGTAAATGTGAGATTTCCATTTTTAATTGTTAATACATTTTCAAGAAATTCTAAAAACCAGTTTTTGCTTTGTCATTATGGGGTATTGTGTGTAGATTGATGAGGAAAAAACAACAATTTAATCAGTTTTAGAATAAGGCTGTAACTTAACAAAATGTGGAAAAAGTAAAGGGGTCTGAGTACTTTCCGAATGCACTGTATTGACATCCTATACAACTGATTCTTTAATTGAACAAGTTACAGTTAATTTGTGGTGATTGCATTACGTTGGAAGACAAAACCCCCATGTTATTGTTGCTTGATGATACAACCTAATCGAGTCTCTGTAGTAACTATGCAGGGTAATCTTTACAACCTAATCGAGTCTCTGTAGTAACTATGCAGGGTAATCTTTACAACCTAATCTAGTCTCTGTAGTAACTATGCAGGCTAATCTTTACAACCTAATCTAGTCTCTGTAGTAACTATGCAGGGTAATCTTTACAACCTAATCTAGTCTCTGTAGTAACTATGCAGGGTAATCTTTACAACCTAATCTAGTCTCTGTAGTAACTATGCAGGGTAATCTTTACAACCTAATCTAGTCTCTGTAGTAACTATGCAGGGTAATCTTTACAACCTAATCTAGTCTCTGTAGTAACTATGCAGGGTCATCTTTACAACCTAATCTAGTCTCTGTAGTAACTATGCAGGGTAATATTTACAACCTAATCTAGTCTCTGTAGTAACTATGCAGGCTAATCTTTACAACCTAATCTAGTCTCTGTAGTAACTATGCAGGCTAATCTTTACAACCTAATCTAGTCTCTGTAGTAACTATGCAGGGTAATATTTTACAACCTAATCTAGTCTCTGTAGTAACTATGCAGGCTAATCTTTACAACCTAATCTAGTCTCTGTAGTAACTATGCAGGCTAATCTTTACAACCTAATCTAGTCTCTGTAGTAACTATGCAGGGTAATCCTTACAACCTAATCTAGTCTCTGTAGTAACTATGCAGGGTAATCTTTACAACCTAATCTAGTCTCTGTAGTAACTATGCAGGCTAATCTTTACAACCTAATCTAGTCTCTGTAGTAACTATGCAGGGTAATCTTTACAACCAAATCTAGTCTCTGTAGTAACTATGCAGGGTAATCTTTACAACCTAATCTAGTCTCTGTAGTAACTATGCAGGGTAATATTTACAACCTAATCTAGTCTCTGTAGTAACTATGCAGGCTAATCTTTACAACCTAATCTAGTCTCTGTAGTAACTATGCAGGGTAATCTTTACAACCTAATCTCTGTAGTAACTATGCAGGGTAATATTTACAACCTAATCTAGTCTCTGTAGTAACTATGCAGGCTAATCTTTACAACCTAATCTAGTCTCTGTAGTAACTATGCAGGGTAATCTTTACAACCTAATCGCTGTAGTAACTATGCAGGGTAATCTTTACAACCTAATCTAGTCTCTGTAGTAACTATGCAGGGTAATATTTACAACCTAATCTAGTCTCTGTAGTAACTATGCAGGGTAATCTTTACAACCTAATCTAGTCTCTGTAGTAACTATGCAGGGTAATATTTACAACCTAATCTAGTCTCTGTAGTAACTATGCAGGCTAATCTTTACAACCTAATCTAGTCTCTGTAGTAACTATGCAGGGTAATCTTTATAACCTAATCTCTGTAGTAACTATGCAGGGTAATCTTTACAACCTAATCTAGTCTCTGTAGTAACTATGCAGGGTAATCTTTACAACCTAATCTAGTCTCTGTAGTAACTATGCAGGGTAATCTTTACAACCTAATCTCTGTAGTAACTATGCAGGGTAATCTTTACAACCTAATCTAGTCTCTGTAGTAACTATGCAGGGTAATCTTTACAACCTAATCTAGTCTCTGTAGTAACTATGCAGGGTAATCTTTACAACATAATCTAGTCTTGTAGTAGTAACTATGCAGGGTAATCTTGACAACCTAATCTAGTCTCGGTAGTGTAACTATGCAGGGTAATATTTACAACCTAATCTAGTCTCTGTAGTAACTATGCAGGGTAATCTTGTACAACCTAATCTAGTCTCTGTAGTAACTATGCAGGGTAATCTTTTACAACATAATCTCTAGTCTCTGTAGTAACTATGCAGGGTAATCTTTACAACCTAATTAGTCTCTGTAGTAACTATGCAGGGTAATACTTTACCAACCTAATCTAGTCTCTTGTAGTAAACTATGCAGGGCAATCTTACAACCTAATCTAGTCTCTGTAGTAACTATTGCAGGGTAATATTTACAACCTAATCTAGTCTCTGTAGAACTATGCCAGGCTAATCTTTACAACCTAATCTAGTCTCTGTAGTAACTATGCAGGGTAATCTTTACAACCTAATCTAGTCTCTGTAGTAACTATGCAGGGTAATCTTTACAACCTAATCTCTGTAGTAACTATGCAGGGTAATCTTTACAACCTAATCTAGTCTCTGTAGTAAACTATGCAAGGGTAATCTTTACAACCTAATCTAGTCTCTGTAGTAACTATGCAGGGTAATCTTTACAACCTAATCTAGTCTCTGTAGTAACTATGCAGGGTAATCTTTACAAACCTAATCTAGTCTCTGTAGTAACTATGCAGGTAATCTTTACAACCTAATCTAGTCTCTGTAGTAACTATGCAGGGTAATCTTTACAACCTAATCTAGTCTCTGTAGTAACTATGCAGGGTAATCTTTACAAACCTAATCTAGTCTCTTGTAGTAACTATGCAGGGTAATCTTTACAACCAAATCTAGTCTCTGTAGTAACTATGCAGGGTAATCTTTACAACCTAATCTAGTCTCTGTAGTAACTATGCAGGGTAATCTTTACAACCTAATCTAGTCTCTGTAGTAACTATGCAGGGTAATCTTTACAACCTAATCTAGTCTCTGTAGTAACTATGCAGGGTAATCTTTAGACTGATGTGTTGTGATCTTCACCAGACACATTCCTTCCAGTCCTCCATTAGGCACGGAGGCATGGAGACTATTTCATTACAATAACATAATGAAATACTGTTCCACGATACACCTCTGTGTGTATTCAATCAAATTGATTTATAAATAGCAGATGTCACAAAGTGCTATACAGAAACCCAGCCTAAAACCACAAACAGCAAGCAATGCAGATGTAGAAGCACGGTGGCTAGGAAAAACTCCCTAGAAAGGCAAGAACCTAGCAAGAAACCTAGCGAGGAACCAGGCTCTGAGGGGTGGCCAGTCCCCTTCTGGCTGTGCCGGGTGTTGATTATAAGAGCACATGGCCATTTAAGGCCAGATTGTATTCACCCTTTTGTTGCCCACTGTTTCTTGCAATAAAGTGACAATTAACAGCAATAGTTAAATGTATCCATTGTTTGAGTTACTAATAGTATTTAGAAAATGCAATAACATACAGATTATTAATAAAAAAAAGTTAAAGGACTCAACTAATTGGCCTGTCTTGAAATGTAATTGTGCTAAAAAAACAAACAATCTTGATATAGTTGTACTATTATTAAATGGCTGCACTGCAATGTAATGAACACCATTTCAGCTTGCTCAAGGGATGCAATCGACGAACGGGTCACTTGTTGCTGCACCTGCCTTCCCTTGCTCATAATTAACCTACTTCCCCAAAGCGAATAAAGTTGGTTCTGTGCAGCCAGTGGCAGTTCGGTGTCTCCAATAACTCTTGAACCCAGCATACCTGGGTTAAGCATAGCTCAAGTGGTGACAGAGACAAAGTTTGAGTGAGAGCAAAAATTGTATAGTCTCATAGATAATTTCTGAAGACATATTTTGTATCTTTCTTTACAAATAAATGACTGTTCTGCAGTGTTTGTTGTGAAGTGTGTGTGAGTGAGTGAGTGAATGAGTGAGTGAGTGAATGAGTGAGTGAGTGAGTGAGTGAGTGAGTGAGTGAGTGAGTGAGTGAGTGAGTGAGTGAGTGAGTGAGTGAGTGAGTGAGTGAGTGAATATGTGCTTTTGTGTCTGAACCGAGAGAGAGAGAGTTTGTTGTCGAGGGTTGAGTGAGAAAGGGTATATTAGCCTACAGAGTAATCTATTTAATTTACAACTGAATCTCCTTTCTTGTATAGGTTAACTGATGTGTGTACTCACAGAGATAAAATGTGAGACGGGGACTTGTTCATGACCATCTGTGATGGTGTAGAAGAGCATGTCTTCTACTCCTGAGAACAGACCCTTTCCATCATTGCTCCTACAGCAACATAGAGGACAGTTGTCAGTGTACACAAACACAGACACATGCTAATGTAATTGAAATAATATTTATAGACTAATGGATGATTGAGGAACATGGAGAAAAGCATTGTTTTATAGCTATAATTGCATGTAATGTGACACACACACACACATCACTGAACTGGACCAATAGTGAAACACAAACTCACAGTTTAGGAAGCACGTGGTCCATATCTGAGGTTGTTCCAATGTGGTGCTGATCTGTTGAACTTGTGTTGAAACATTGTGCGGCTTGAACTTTAACGTTAGTAGGACACCCCGGTAATAAACAGTTATAACAACCCTTTTTGACAACTCTTTTAGTGGCGTCCGTCACCAAGGTTTGCACAGCTGCTGCGTTGGTCACCCGTAATATTTTCAAACAGTGCATGGTTTACAACTTTACAAAAAATGTAAGCAGACTAGGAGAATAACTGCCTTCGGATACCTTTCCGTTATTTCCGTTACCTTCCACTATTTGTCCGCAGTCTGATAGTCCCGCTATGGCCAATCCGCAACAGGTGTACAGTAGGCAACAGCAGCAACAGATCAAATCCCGTTGTCAAATTCTAAACTTGTCATGATGAGAGCACAAGCAGCGAGCTCTGGCGACGACGTCGGAGTATTGTCAGGTCAGGCATTGGTCAGCACAGTGACCAATGAGAAATTACAATCAAGCACATTCTAGGAGATGACAAGGTTTGGCGCCAAAGATACAATGCATTCAAATACTCAAGGACTGGCTGCAACCTGTAGGCTACGTTTTGAAATACTTTGAGCAACTCAGTGAGATCATGACATAGGCTGGTGAGGTGTATCCAGAGACATGTTCTGTGCAATTATTAACAGATTAATATAACAAAAATGCTTTCAAAATCATTAATTGGTCTCATTTTATTATTTGTGTTCATATAATGGACATCAGTTCTTTCAATAAGAACAGACTTATTGAATATGAGGGTTATTAGTGCATTTGTTCAAACTGCTTGTTGTAGGTTGGTTTCATAAAGATTTTACCTACAAAGTTAACAATATTGCTCAAAATTAAGCAACATCAATAACAGTGACGAAAAGGCACAGTAGGTTGGCAAACAGCATAATAATTCAAATATTCTATGTTCTCTTTCAAAACTATAGGATACCCATCTAGAAACACAGACAGTAGGCCTGTAAACAAATGCATTGAATTAACTTTTCTAAATAGAGTTATGATGTGTAGGCTACTATAGGTTCTGTAAGTTTGAACTCAAACAATATATTATTTTGTCTTGTTTAGTGTTGTATTGTATAGTATTGGGTTATATCGTATTATGTATTGTATTGCAATGTATTGTATGCTATTAACTCTTTTAAATGTAACTCTAGACACTCTTAGCAGGACGTGGCATCACCAGTTTCAGCCCAATATCGATGACACAGGATGGCATGTAAGAGAGGGGGATCCATCCGAATTTAGCGTCCCAGCCAGCACTGTAGCGGGTTCGGGGATAGGCAGACGCCAAGGCATGCTCCATGCAGTTAGTCACTTTACTCAGGTCCGAGTCACACGCTGCGTTCATGATCAACCGCTGGATCTGGATGTCTGGATAGGTTGAGGAGAAACGTGATAATGTTAAAACTGTTAAGATGTTGTAGAACCAATGGTATTGGACTGAAGGAGAGGAGAGGAGAGGAGAGGGGAGGGGTTGAACACAGGGTTCTGTCCCAGCACATCCTTGTATATAGTCTCTTTATTGTTATTTTTATCGTGTTACAATTTATTTTCTTTGGTGCAAATTTTCTTACTTTTTAAAGGGCTTCGTAGGTAAGCATTTCACGGTAAATTCTACACCTGTAGTATTCGGCGCATGTGACAAATAAAATGTGATTTGTACATCAAGCTGCCTCATGCTATAGAAACAGCAGATAGGCTCCTGCCCTTATGGACTGTTCTGGGTCAGACAAGGCTACAGGACAGAATAAAGACAAGGTTACAGGACAGAATAAAGACAAGGCTACAGGACAGAATAAAGACAAGGCTACAGGACAGAATAAAGACAAGGCTACAGGACAGAATAAAGACAAGGCTACAGGACAGAATAAGACAAGGAATAAAGACAAGGCTACAGGACAGAATAAAGACAAGGCTACAGGACAGAATAAAGACAAGGCTACAGGACAGAATAAAGACAAGGCTACAGGACAGAATAAAGACAAGGCTACAGGACAGAATAAAGACAAGGCTACAGGACAGAATAAAGACAAGGCTACAGGACAGAATAAAGACAAGGATACAGGACAGAATAAAGACAAGGCTACAGGACAGAATAAAGACAAGGTTACAGGACAGAATAAAGACAAGGCTACAGGACAGAATAAAGACAAGGTTACAGGACAGAATAAAGACAAGGCTACAGGACAGAATAAAGACAAGGCTACAGGACAGAATAAAGACAAGGCTACAGGACAGAATAAAGACAAGGCTACAGGACAGAATAAAGACAAGGCTACAGGACAGAATAAAGACAAGGCTACAGGACAGAATAAAGACAAGGCTACAGGACATAATAAAGACAAGGCTACAGGACAGAATAAAGACAAGGCTACAGGACAGAATAAAGACAAGGCTACAGGACAGAATAAAGACAAGGCTACAGGACAGAATAAAGACAAGGCTACAGGACAGAATAAAGACAAGGCTACAGGACAGAATAAAGACAAGGCTACAGGACAGAATAAAGACAAGGCTACAGGACAGAATAAAGACAAGGTTACAGGACAGAATAAATATATTTTTTAACCAAAGGTCTAATCCGATGGATAACTTGCTGCTGCTGCTACTACTACTACTACTACTACTACTACTACTACTACTACTACTACTACTACTACTACTACTACTACTACTACTACTACTACTACTACTACTACTACTACTGCTACTGCTACTGCTACTACTACTACTACTACTGCTACTACTACTACTACTACTGCTGCTGCTACTGCTACTACTACTACTGCTGCTACTGCTACTACTACTACTACTACTACTACTACTACTACTACTACTACTACTACCACAACTTACACTTATCCAGGTATTTGTCTCCGTAGCTGGCCTTCACTTCAGGTGTGAGCTGGTTCCACAGGCGATGCAGCTCACTCTCGATGGGATCAAGACTGGTCACAGCTGTCTTAAAGAACCCTGGTTCAATGATGCACACCTTGATCCCAAAGTAGTGGATATCCCTCCTGAACAAAAGGTACATTGACAAAACGGGTAGGTTGATGAACAGCAAGCCTTGACATGCATTCTCTAAAAAACACACTCAGTTCATTTATCTCCGTAGAAACGTTACCTATAGTTTTAAATATAAGTAGTTGATGACAATATAGTTAAATGGAAGACACTAGATGTAAGGGGAGTAACTATATTAGGGAGCTGTTCCATGCAGTCAGAGGCAGGTCAATACCACAATGAGGGTTTTATTGAATTGAGCTTTGTGACTTGCCTACTGTAGATGTGTTGTATTCACAGTACCCGGTGTGTTTACACTAGGAACCAAACAGAAGCAAATGGCCCGCAACGGGGAGGGACTACCTGAACTTGCTACGGTGTGCACTAATGAACTCTATTGCACTCTTGGAAGATAAAGCCGCCGATGTGGGCAAAAAGAGACAACAGACTAACAGCAGTAACCTACCTGAGGCAGTCTGAGAAAGACTCCACAGCAAACTTTGAGATGCAGTATCCACCACCGTTAGCTGCCACCCTGCCCAGTACCGATGCTACATTAACGATCCTGCCCTGGGCCTGTTTGATGAGGGGCAGGAAGGTTAGGGTTATCTCTATCACCCCCGTCATGTTGACCTTCAGGGTACTGGTATAGTCCTCCAGCCTCATCCACTCTGAGGGACCCATGGGCAGGGACCGCCCCGCGTTGTTCACGATGCCCCACAGTCCTGGTGGGGGAGAGAGAGAGAGAGAGAGAGAGAGAGAGAGAGAGAGAGAGAGAGAGAGAGAGAGAGAGAGAGAGAGAGAGAGAGAGAGAGAGAGAGAGAGAGAGAGATGTAGAGAGAGAGATGTAGGGAGAGAGAGAGAGGACAAGCGATTAATTCAGACATGTTCTGTACCTTTGATTCCACTGTGTATTTCAAGTAAAGCGCATCTGTTTTGTTTGCCACAACTGCTGTTTGAGTGGTCTAAGGCACTGCATCGCAGTGCTAGCTGTGCCACTAGAGATCCTGGTTCGAATCCAGGCTCTGTCGTAGCCGGCCGCGACCGGGAGACCCATGGGGCGGCGCGCACAATTGGCCCAGCGTCGTCCAGGGTAGGGGAGGGAATGGCCGGCAGGGGATGTAGCTCAGTTGGTAGAGCATGGCGTTTGCAACGCCAGGGTTGTGGGTTCGATAAAAAAATAATGTATGCACTAACTGTAAGTCGCTCTGGATAAGAGCGTCTGCTAAATGACTAAAATGTGAAATGTAATGAGTAGGCCCATGTGCTTTTCTTGACTCTGACCAGGCCAGGATAGGTTACAGCTAGGGCCCAGAGTTTTTACTAACCAGGAACATAGTCAGGAAAAAACCACCCCAGTCCAAATGGTCTCTCACCGTTATCTCCAACTTCCTGCTTGGTGTACTCCATGGCTTTCTGTATACTGGCGGTGCTCGTCACATCTAGGAGAACCGCCTTCAGGTACGGTCCAGTCGCCCTCTTCAGATCATCAGCCCCTTTCTCTGTCAGACACCCAGCTATCACCCTGAACCCCCGCCGGTCCAGCCTCTTACAGAGCAAGTTCCCAAAGCCAGAGTCACACCCCGTCACAAACACATACTTGTCCTTGATATCTTCTATCTCCAGACTGTCTCTGTACAGCCAGCCCAGCGTCCACAGAACCACGAAGGTGCCCACGCCGTACAGCCATAGGTTATCCCAGCTGGGGGGGAGGGAGAGCACAGTGAGGGGTGGTAGGTAGGATGACGTTGATAGAATTTGAGTTCAATGTTGTTGTTTTTTGCCAGATGGGATTTTTTTATCCCAACAGGCAAAGACCTGACGTTAACATCAAATCAACATCTAAGTTTGTTTGGTATTTTGATTGAGTTTTCAACAAACTTGAAACAAACCAAACCTTGAAGTCCCTGAATCGTCGTTGGCTTGTGCTGGATACCTAGTTTAGAATGAGACAGAAAAATGTGCATGTTGATGAATGTTTTTTTGCAAATTCAACAAAACAAATCCATTGATGTTCAACGTCAGGTATATTGAAATATGACAGTGATAGAATGCCATGCCAATATTTGGTCATTATCATGGCATTGGTAGAAAAGTGAATGGGTGTTTTCATGCGTGTTCACATAGGATTATTTCATAAAATAACATTATAGGAGTTAAAAATGGACACAATAAATCTTACCCTAAATACTGGTACACAGAATCCATATCCTTGATGAGTTCTGAGAAGCGATTTTATGGAGGCGTTGAAAAATTAATCCCTGTGATGCCTGGACAAAACACGAATTACAAATGTTATCAACGCCACCTGAGCAAGACCTAGTCGGTGGAAACCTGTTGCAGTAGGTGTTCTGCTTTAACAGCTGCTGATCAGCTGCTACCTCTGTATATATATTTTCTAAGTAGTTCACCGGGACAAAGTAAGTGAGACAAAGAGGAATTCTAAGTAAGTAAAGTGGGTAGAGTGTTCATTGTAAGATACATCAAGACGCAGGCCTCGTGTGTTTTCTATGTTCTCCCTGTCATCGTGAGGCCCTTTTCCCCCTCTGACCTTCTCTCACATGTTATCAGTGAAAAGACAGCTAAAGATGATTCAGCCGGTTTACAAATAATTATTTTTCTCTTTCAAAAAAAGGACTCAACCCCAAAACACCATCTAGTGAAAGTCCAAAAATAACAATTCTCAATTCTGTGGAATCTACTTTACAGGGTGTTCTATTTTTTTATTTTTATTTTATTTTACTAGGCAAGTCAGTTAAGAACAAATTGTTATTTACAATGACGGCCTACACTGGCCAAACCCGGACGACGCTGGGCCAATTGTGCGCCGCCCTATGGGACTCCCAATCACGGCCGGTTGTGATACAGCCTGGAATCGAACCAGGGGGGTCTGTAGTGACGCCTCAAGCACTGAGATGCAGTGCCTTAGACCCCAGCGCCACTCGGGAGCCCAATGAGCCCATTGTGATAAGGATCGAATTAATCTGACGTCTTAAAACACGTGTTTTGGGGCTTTCCAGTGAGGTATTTAGAGAACGACATGCATAATATGGGCAGCTGGTTTTGTCAGAGCACATGAGGAATCTTGGGATAAGGCTCTTAAAGATCTTATGAAACACAGAGGCATTGGGACCAGGATAGGGGTTTAGGGCAGGGCCTTGATTGTTTTGTAGCAAAAACCCAACGTCTCTGTTCAAGACTCACAGTAAGACTCTCAGTGCTCTAAACTTATTAGCTTCCCTGCAGGCTTATTAGGCTGGGGGTGGAATAGATTGGGACATCCTGGAATCACACTGGAGAAAGGGACACATACTGTATGGAAGCAAGGTGCGCGGACCAACAAGGGTTTTGGGGAACAGGAACAAATGAATACACTAGTAAGAATAACACTTGTAGGAGTGGATATTACCTGGCTCATCTGTAACTATATTATCCATAAAATCACTAATTAAAAAGTACATCACATAGACTGACCGATTTCAATCATCACTTTCCTCTTCATATCTCAATATGTGATGGTGAGATGACAGTAACTAGTGTGATGGCTAGAGGACAGTAACTAGTGTGATGGCTAGAGGACAGTAACTAGTGTGATGGCTAGAGGACAGTAACTAGTGTGATGGTGAGAGGACAGTAACTAGTGTGATGGTGAGAGGACAGTAACTAGTGTGATGGTGAGAGGACAGTAACTAGTGTGATGGTGAGAGGACAGTAACTAGTGTGATGGTTAGAGGACAGTAACTAGTGTGACGTTAGAGGACAGTAACTAGTGTGACGTTAGAGGACAGTAACTAGTGTGACGTTAGATGACAGTAACTAGTGTGATGGTTAGAGGACAGTAACTAGTGTGATGGTGAGAGGACAGTAACTAGTGTGATGGTTAGAGGACAGTAACTAGTGTGACGTTAGAGGACAGTAACTAGTGTGACGTTAGAGGACAGTAACTAGTGTGATGGTTAGAGGACAGTAACTAGTGTGATGGTGAGAGGACAGTAACTAGTGTGATGGTTAGAGGACAGTAACTAGTGTGATGGTTAGAGGACAGTAACTAGTGTGATGGTTAGAGGACAGTAACTAGTGTGATGGTTAGAGGACGGTAACTAGTGTGACGTTAGACGACAGTAACTAGTGTGATGACTAGAGGACAGTAACTAGTGTGATGGTTAGAGGACAGTAATTAGTGTGACGTTAGAGGACAGTAACTAGTGTGATGGTTAGAGGACAGTAACTAGTGTGATGGTTAGAGGACAGTAACTAGTGTGATGGTTAGAGGACAGTAACTAGTGTGACGTTAGAGGACAGTAACTAGTGTGATGGTTAGAGGACAGTAACTAGTGTGATGGTTAGAGGACAGTAACTAGTGTGATGGTTAGAGGACAGTAACTAGTGTGATGGTTAGAGGACAGTAACTAGTGTGATGGTTAGAGGACAGTAACTAGTGTGATGGTTAGAGGACAGTAACTAGTGTGACGTTAGAGGACAGTAACTAGTGTGATGGTTAGAGGACAGTAACTAGTGTGATGTTAGAGGACAGTAACTAGTGTGATGGTTAGAGGACAGTAACTAGTGCGCACCTCTTGTTTGAGGGGGAATAAAGGACTGTACTTATTTACTTGTCCTTTATCTACGTGATCCTTTCCCCTCTGGATAATAACATTTACAAATCTGTGCAAAGGCTTAGTAAACCCGGACCATTTTGAGCTTACAGTTTATTATGATGTAATCATTTTATAATAAATAATAAATAAATAAATACAATTGAGTACGTCATGCACCAGAACCAGCTATGCTACCCTGTAAATATATAATAATACTTTAAAGTTTAAATGATTGGGTACCACTTTACATTAATCACTTGAAAAATGAATCCAATCCAATATTTCTGTTGAAGTATTCAGTTTTTAATTATCTGATGATTGTTCAAATTAAAAAGCCAACCTAACTTTCCCTAAAATTAAAATGCCAACCTACCTGGTATCAGTGGTTTACTGGTCCACAGGTCTGCCTCTTCACTCTCTGACAGTAACAGTTTGGTCCATGGAGCCTGGAGCCTGTGTTGTGTCACTGTGTGTGACTGGCAGAGAAAGGGCTTTATTCCCCTAGTTTATCCTTTAAGACAATCTGCAATTTGTAATCTGAAAGCTGTGTGTACGTGGAGTGTGTGTATGTGTGTGTGTACGTGGAGAGTGTGTATACGTGGAGAGTGTGTACGCATGGAGTGTGTGTGTTGGGAATAAAGGGAGGTGTGGAGGAGGGATTATGTGGAGGGACCAGCGACTGATTTACATTCAGGGACCAGTAAATTCGTACATAGACTCTACAAAAAATATATAAATAATTATCAGTTGATAAGACAAACAAACCTTTTTTAGACTGTTGGTATGTTGCTGTCAGTATGTAACTGTCAGCGTGTATCAATCACATGTATCAGTCAGCATCTATCAGTCAGCACTTATCAGTCAGCACGTATCAGTCAGCATGTAGTAGTCTAATAATACAGAGTTGTCAGTCTAGGTCTCTTTAGTGTAAAATTCTTGTCAAATTTACTAAAACTGTTTTACCTTAATGTCAATGTAGACCTTTTTATATTTCAGCCTGCAATGTAATATTGTTACATTTACTGTTCATCCCCATACCGTTCCCTAATAGAGGGTTAAATAAACGTACACTAATCATATCCTTCAACAAAGTACTGAGTAAAGGGTCTGAATACTTATGGAAATGTGATTTAGAAGAAAATAAACTTATAAAAACCTGTTTTTGCTTTGTCACTGTGGGTTATTGTGTGTAGATTGATGAGGGGGAAAAAAACAATTTAATCCATTTTAGAATTACGGTGTAACGTAAATAATTGTGCCGTCGGAAAGTATTCAGACCCCTTGCCTTGTTCCACATTTTGTTACGTTACAGCCTTATTCTAAAACTGATTAAATAGTCCATCTACTACACACAATACCCCACAATGACAAAGCAAAAACAGGTTTTTAGAGGTTTTTGCTAATTTATCATTTAATTTTTTTTTGACAAATCAAATTTACATAAGTATTCAGACCCTTTACTCAGTACTTTGTTGAAGCGCCTTTGGCAGCGATTACAGCCTTGTGTCTTCTTGGGTATGACGCTACAAGCTTGGCACACCTGTATTTGTGGACTTTCTCCCATTCTTCTCTGCAGATCCTCTCAAGCTCTGTCCGGTTGGATGGGGAGCGTTGCTGCACAGCTATTTCAGGTCTCTCCAGAGATGTTCGATCAGGTTCAAGTGCAGGCTCTGGCTGGGCCACTCAAGGACATTCAGACACTTGTCCCGAAGCCACTCCTGCGTTGTCTTGGCTGTGTGCTTAGGGTCGTTGTCCTGTTGGACAGGTGAACCGTCGCCCCAGTCTGAGGTCCTGAGCGCTCTGGAGCAGGTTTTCATCAAGGATCTCTCTGTACTTTGCTCCGTTCATCTTTCCCTCGACCCTGACTAGTCCCCCAGTCCCTGCTGCTGAAAAACATCCCCACAGCATGATGCTGCCCCCACCATGCTTCACCGTAGGGATGGTGCCAGGTTTCCTCCAGATGTGACGCTTGGCATTCAGACCAAAGAGAATCTTGTTTCTGGTGTGAGAGACTTTAGGTGTCTTTTGGCAAACTCCAAGCGGGCTGCCATGTGCCTTTTACTGAGGAGTGGCTTCCATATGGCCACTACCATAAAGGCCTGATTGGTGGAGTGCTGCAGAGATGGTTGTCCTTCTGGAAAGTTCTCCCATCTCCACAGAGGAACTCTAGAGCTCTGTCAGACCAAGGCCATTCTCAAAACGATTGCTCAGTTTGGCCGGGCGGCGAGCTCTAGGAAGAGTCTTGATGGTTCCAAACTTCTTCCATTTAAGAATGATGGAAACCACTGTATTCTTGGGGTCCTTCAATGCTGCAGATCCCCAGATCTGTGCCTCGACACAATCCTGTCTCTGAGCTCTACGGACAATTGCTTCAACCTCATGGCTTGGTTTTTGCTGTGACATGCCCTGTCAACTGTGGGACCTTTCATAGACAGTTGTGTGCCTTTCCAAATCATGTTCAATCAATTGAATTTACCACAGGTGGACTCCAATCAAGTTGTAGGAAACATCTCAAGGATGATCAATGGAAACAGGATGCACCTGAGCTCCATTTTGAGTCTCATAGCAAAGGGTCTGAATACTTATGTAAATAAGATATTTCATTTTTTTTACTGTTTTTGCTTTGTCATTATGGGTATTGTGTGTAGATTAGAATAATTGTATTTATTTAATCCATTCTAGAGTAAGCCTGTAAACGTAACATTTGGAAAAAGTCAAGGGGTCTGAATACATTCCAAAGGCACTATAGGTCTATGGAGACCTCATATGCCCTTTAAACCACGAGTACATATTCAGGTCAATTGCATGTTGTTTAAATGTAAAAATCTGCTTCCAAATCACCTTCTTTTCTCTTTGACTAGTGAATTAGTTAGTGAACTAGTTCATTATCATCTAGACTAGGCCTACTCACACAAATTAATGGCAGAGTTCAGTGAGTGCACCAACTCTGGTAAAGTTGGGTTCGTCACCTACAGGTTTAATTATTTTGTGGTTGTATTTTAGATTAATTTGTGCATGCAATAACCCAAACGTCATGGGGTTGTCAGAACTTATGAAAGAGAGTGGTTACTAAACAGGAATGTGATTGAGCTCCAGTGATGTAACAACCTTCTCTCGTTGTTTTACTGTGTTCTGTAGCTGGATTAAATGGATTCCACAATCCAACAACAAATACAAAACATCCACCATTACTTAATTTCTTTATTCAAGAACAGAGAAACATCACATCAAAACAGAGTTCAAAGACAAGCATTTGATATATATATAGCCTGGTCCCCCAGATCCATTTGTTCTTGTCAATTCCATTGCGGTCATTGTTTGTCATGACAACGAGTTGGTACGATAGCTGAAACTGACTGGCATTCAGGCTACAACACACCGTGAGAGAGAATGATTAATTGAACATACATGATCCAAAAGGTTTTCAAGCAGTAAGAGACTTGAGATGTTTAAACGTCGCTTTTATTAAAACAGGGTACAAATACCACCTACTTAAACCAGACAGACATCACTGGCGAACGCATCATTCAGTCAGTCTGGTTTAACCAGGCTGGGTAGTTTTAGTCATACAGGAGAGTTGGCAGTTACCAGACAAATCTCTCCCTTCTAAAAACAGGCGACCAATTACAAGCAAATAAATCCTATTTCTCCATAGTACTATTTCACAAACAGGCCTCTTTTGTTCAACGCCTCGCTAGCTAATCCACATTTCAAAGTCCTGTTCATCCTCATGGGAATAGGAACATGGCCTAACTTCAGAGAATGACTGACTAGTACCCGAAAGACAGACTAAAACCAAATCGGAACTATTTCTCTTTGCAGAAGATCGTAAAAAGTGTAAAAGTGAAATTTGTTAAAACGTTGCATTGCCCCCGTTCAATTGATTATTAGATATGCTTGGTCTTGTTCACCCACACAGATAGACTCACAAAGGAAACAACGTTTGCGCAAACAGCGAAATCATTAGGAGTGTTGCTAAATTCACATGGACCCATCTGAAGCCCATTATACCTGGTCTGAGGACAATTGGTTAGGTATTTCCACGACAGTTAATATATATTTGGTACAGACCTTTAACAATTAAAAGTGTTGTGGACAAAACAACATTGCAGATGGGCCATAGGCGCTCTTTTCAATAAGGTTTATTTGTCCACAGATATTCAGTTCCTGCTGTAACACAACGCGTCACCTCATGAACACTGGGCGAGCCTTAAAGCCTTTAGTAATCACTGAAGCCTTGAATCAACTTTTCAGATGGTTCTTCGACCAGAATCCTGGTATCCGTGGAAAGTCCACCACTCTTTCACAGTGAAAGTGTCCAGCTACTGAAGTTAGCAGCGGGCCATCAGTTCCAGGTTATGGTTCAGTGTGTCTACGACGAGGCTGATGTGACCTGACCCTTGTGTACATACTCCAGAGCTGTGGCGACGGTTCTCATGTCCATCTCAATACTGCGAGCCCAGTTCTCCACATCACCTATTTCCTGTTCAAGACAAAAACATATATATATATATTTTTTAAAGGTTAGAGGCTAGGGCTGCTTTATTAAGGGGTCAATACTAAGGACACAATGGGAAGAATTACAACTAAAAATTCATGAATAAGTAGCCTACATGTTATAGACTATACAATTGTTGCAGCTACTTCATACCACAAGGGGGGTGACATTATCAACTTTATGAGTGAGCCCCTGACATTTCATCATCAGACAGTCCTGAGAGTCATCCTCTTAATGCCAAAGCATGAGTGAGCTGTGACAGAGATGGCTCAGAGCTATTTAACCTCCACTAAGCTAACATACGGAAATTGTTTTAAGATCATCAGACCATGGCTCATTTAGCTATTTGATTTTGAATTTTAGGACCCCTTTAGGTATAAAAAAAATGTAGAATTTGATAAAAGATTACATTTCGCTTTTGCTACTATAGCCCATACAAACACATTGAATAACACAAATGGCAAAAAAAAGTCTAAATAAACCATAAGGAATAAGGTTTAGAAGTGTCTGTCCTATATCTAGGAGATATAAGAAAGTTCAGGAAATAAACAAATGTTGGGACACATATTGAACCCCTTATTTTTGTTGGCACAAAACTACCTCCATACTTCCATTCGTTTGTATGGATTACCATCGTGTTCGTGAGAGTCTCCCCTTTCCATAGAGGGGTCATATTAGTTTGTAGCTCAAACGGTTCGGACACTACAGACAGAAGTTGGCAGATCGGATGTACCGACTTCAGACGAGTCCCGAGACACCTGTGGGGGTTGTAGAGCAAACCGATTTTCGGGATGTCTCATGGTCTGACAAACACCGCTGTTTGCAGATCTGGAAGGCCGACATCGGCGGATACGGTGGATTGATCCGGAAGGCGAAATAGGCGGATGCCATGATATCTCTAGCTTAAACTGATGGATTTTGATGGGGATTTTTTTTATTATGTTACTTAGATTGACGCACGGTAGCGTCAAAAGACTTAAAGATTAACAAAATAAAATCAACCTTACTCTCTCACTCTGTTCTTCCTGACCAAGCCAAGGTATATGACACATTCATAATGCACCTATAATACAGCTTCCTGGAAGGTTACAGACAGACAGAGAGAGAGGGAATGTGGTGTTTGATGTTCAACGAAAGGGTTTGGATTTCCCTCCATACCGTAGTCATCTACTGGTGTCGATGTTAACACAGACAGGCAGAGATTGGCTTAACGCTGTGTTTGAGCCTTGGTAAGAAGAACAGTAGCTCATTATCTGTGATAGATATATATATATATATATATATATATAGCTTTGATGAGTTTGAGGCCTACTAAATGTTAAGTATCACATGTTTTAGCTAAAATGCTTTTGAACATAAGGTTTTATTTAACATGTTTGCCTGGCTGGGAATGTGGCAGGACTAAACGTACATTAGAACGGGTGAAAAAGTCAACTGAAAAGATACCCAATATACCAGTTTGTTTTGTTCCCAAAGGAAAGTTATATTGTACTTCTCTTCAGATTTGAAACACTCATGGGGGGGGGGGGGGGGCTGCTATCATTCGACAAACATAAAAGGATTTAGGGAAAATGGCTACTAATCTAAGACCATACTGTGTAGTGTGTGTACCTTCAGGGCCTGGTTGAATCCTTCCACCATACTGATCCACTGAGCGGTCTGCTTGGAGAACTGGCTGGCCTGCACCTGTAACGTCTTCACCTCATGGTCCAGCTTCCTCTGGTTCACATACGCCTGGGCCACCCTGGAATTAAACATCACACACAGCAACTGGAAGATTAGTACAACAAGATTTTAAGGAGGCATGGAGATCAGAAGACTTCACATGAGGATAATAATAATAATAATAATAATAATATGCCATTTAGCAGACGCTTTTATCCAAAGCGACTTACAGTCATGTGCGCATACATTTTTACGTATGGGTGGTCCCGGGGATCGAACCCACTACCCTGGCATTACAAGCGCCATGCTCTACCAATTGAGCTACAGAGGCCTAAGCAACATTTAATAAAAGGTTGATCTGATGACATCTTATGGGCAAAGACATTCTATTGGATATTGGAAACGGAAGAGAAATTAGACCGAAATCAGTGGTTAAGAAAGTGTAAAAATATGTCCTTATGAAATCCTTCATAACAACAATAAATAAGAGGTTGGTTTCTACACTTGACTTTATCCTCCTTTCGTTAACTGTAATTGAATTACACTTACATTTTAGTCATTTAGCAGACGCTCTTATCCAGAGCGACTTACAGTTAGTGAATACATATTTTATTTTTTATTTTTTTTATACTGGCCCCCCGTGGGAATCGAACCCACAACCCTGGCGTTGCAAACGCCATGCTCTATCAACTGATCTACATCCCTGCCGGCCATTCCCTCCCCTACCCTGGACGACGCTGGGCCAATTGTGCACCGCCCATGAGTCTCCCGGTCGCGGCCGGCTGCGACAGAGCCTGGATTCGAACCAGGATCTCTAGTGGCACAGTTAGCACTGCGATGCAGTGCCTTAGACCACTGCGCCACTCAGGAGACAATGTGAATGTAGTGTCGCAACCAAGGTGGTCAAGTCCAACTGTTTCCATTAGATGCTATTCTTTGGTTTCGCCACTAGATCAAGCTTCCTGCCATCCAGAACCTCTAAACTATGCGTTGTCAGAGGAAGGCCCCAAAAAAATTGTCAAAAAGACTCCAGCCACCCAAGTCATACACTGTTCTCTCTGCTACCGCACGGCAAGCGGCACCAGAGCGCCGAGTCTAGGTCCAAAAGGCTCCTTAACAGCTTTTAACCCCAAGCCATAAGACTGCTGAACAATTAATCAAATGACTACCCGGACTATTTGCATTGACCCCTCCCCTTTTTTTGTGCCGCTGCTACTCACTGTGTATTATCTATTATCTACGTATAGTCACTCCCCTACCTACATGTACATATTACCTAAATTACCTCGACTAACCTGTACCCCACACATTGACTCGGTACCGATACCCCCTGTATATAGCCTCATTATTGTTCTACTTAAAAAGACAAAAAACTTTATTTCGTAAATATTTTCTTCACTCTTATTTTCTTACATTTTAGTCATTTAGCAGACGCTCTTATCCAGAGCGACTTAAAGTTAGTGAGTGCATAAATTTTTCATACTGGCCCTCCGTGGGAATCGAACCCACAACCCTGGCGTTGCAAACGCCATGCTCTACCAACTGAGCTACAGCATTGTTGTTAAGGGCTTGTAAGTAAGCATTTCACATTAAGGTCTACACCCATTGTATTCAGCACAAATAACATTTGATTTTAATTAACTTTTGTACTACTGAAATATTACCAGGGTGTACAATGTGCTGTGGAGTCACATGCCATCATTGGTTAACACAGTGATTGAAGGCTAAGCACACAGACAGGTTTTTTTTTAGTCCAGGATTAAATTTAATCTGTGACGGGGAAATTTGCAGGCATTTTCTGTTATAAAATCGACGATTGCTTAGTAAGGAAGATAGGGGATTTCTATTGGAGAAGCAGTGTCCGCCTATCACGCCTGTAGGCGATATCATGGAGACGTTAGCTACCTAAGATCATGTGCAGAAACACATCGTCGGGTATAACGGTCAAGTCACTCCGAACTGCGCATGTGCATGCCGTCCACTCGATATAAAGTTGTTTTTGACGAAAAATGAAAACGTGTCAGTTTGTCACTTTTATGAGGTTGTAGTAATGGCATGGTTGAGCTACTTAAAACATGGGTTTTAATCTATGTTGTGCCTTCAGAAATCGAGAAAATGAACTACTAAGGAATCAGTTCAATTCTCTCATTGACTTCTCAAACCCCGGTCCGGTATGCAGAGTCTGCTTCGCAAGTGTTGCAATGTTGGGTTTAAAAACCTCTGTGACAAAAAGCTATAAACCAAGGCTACAGCTCAAATACAAGACGGTAGCTAAACACTTTCAATGCAGGTTACAAAACAGGCCTAATTGGTCACGTGTCAAGGCATTTGATCGGAATTGGCCGAGTTGAACAGCTGAATGATGGGTACATAAAAACAGGGGTAGGGCCCTATAAAAAAAATCAGTATTGCGGACGGAATCCCGACAATAAAACGGAATTTAACAATATATTTAACTTGTTTGGAAATCAAATAAAGCTATTGAACAGAAATGAGAAAAAATGCATTCATTTGCCCAAGTGAATCATAAGACGAACAAACTGCATCAGTGATTCCTATTTTCATGCAACTTTCTGAAACGGCACAGGAATGCCCCTGTCTGAGTGGGTGTGTGCGGTGCGTACACCGTGTAGCCGTTAGCGATGATGCTAATGATAACATTATTCTGGTAGAGATGGAAAGGCTTTCCCAAAAACCTTCTCAATTAAATGTTAACAACAAAGTAGCCTATGCATACATGGCAGAATAATATTATGATTATTTGCATCAATACAGTGGCCATTTGTTTTGCAAACTCTGCAATCACATGAGCCCTACAACAACACCGCTTAACCAAACAAAGGTATCTTCCTGGTGCCCACTTGCATTAAAAGGGTAACTACACACAAAAATCGAATTTTCGGGAAGAAATCCCACACCTAAAAAAAGTATCCTGATGCAGTTTAAACATTTTTGTGGACTTAGAACATTCAATTGTTTTTTTTTAAAAAAAAATCAAATACAATAAAGTGAATGAGAGCGAAAACTGAAACTGTGAAAAACTAAATGGCGAAAACCGAATTTGGGAAAAACAAAACGTAATCAGGCAAAAAATAAATACAGATTTTTTAGGTCCCAACAGGGGTAAACAACACAAGCTAACTACTGGCCATTATTCACATACCCAACATTGAGGTGGTCCACCAAGGCTTCTGTTAGACAGGTGGCCGCAGCAATTGCCTCTCGTCTGCGTCTCTCTGAGCAGGGCAAAAGAAAACAGGAGTGTATTCATTACGTCTTGCAACGGAAACCGTTTAACAAACAAATTGAAACAAATCGAGCAAACGGAACAAAACAGGGAGGGACCTACCTGAATTTGTCCAATCTAAACTCATTTTCGTTGCAAAACGTTTACAGTTTGGAGTAAACAGTTTCTATTGCAAAACGTTTTGCAACAGACGAAACGTTTTGCAACAACAGAATAGGCGTAATGAATACATCTACAGAAAACGTTTACCGTTTAAGAACCAAACGGAATGCAAACGGAGCAAAACGGGAGTTTCTTGCTAGTGGACAAATTTAGGTAGCCGCCACCACTAGAATCGGCGGAATGAATACACCCCACCTATCATGTCATGGGGTGGAATAGCATAACGTAGCTAGGTTAGCCATCAAGTTAAGAACACGCTAACGTTAGCGTCTTCTAGTTAGCTGTGTTCGCCCAAAACTTGAGTAACCCTTGGAGTAAATGTACAGTATATAACCACACATATATATACATATATATATATATATATATATATATATATATATATATATATATATATATATATATGCGGTATAACGTCGATTCCAGGGGCTAGTTAGCGAACTGCCTGACCCTGGGCGTCAGTACGAGTTCAAATACTAGCAGAGGCAACTCGTCGTTGTCGTCCAGAGCTAGCTAACTATAAATCCAGTTATCGTCACGAAATTCACAATTTGCTTGACTCATGCATTTCTAACGGTTGTTTGTTGTTATACGTTCAGAACCTTGTTGCTGCAGCTAACTAACTAGCTAGCTAATTTTCCTAGCTGTTGTTTTTAGCTTAGCTAGCTAGCTGCAGCATCACACTAGACGTTATTTCCCCTCACCTTGGAGTTCTTTTCTCTCGTTCTGCTTAGCTTGGTGCTCCTTCAATAAACGAGAAAGCATTTTTACTTTATTTTTCGCTACCTTAATTTATTTGTTCAATATATTTTCATTTATCTAGCAGGGACATGAGAGCTAGCAGGATTTACAGCTGTTGTCACACGAGACCACGTAATGATGACCAAGTGCGTTTCTCGTAGGATCAGTTTGCCATCCCAAAGCTGAAACGTTGAATTAGCCCAAATAACGCAATATTGACTTCAGATCCGTTTTTATTTCTTCTTTGGAGTTTAACGGCGGTTGGCATCCAATATGTTGCATTACTGCCCCCAACTGGACTATAACATACATCCATTGTACTTGGTGATAAAAAAAATAATTGGAAAAGGGAAGATAAAAAAAAGAAACACCCTACCAACTAACCCGACACTCATTAAAAACCCACTACCTCCTTCCACTACTTTGACCCTATCTGCTCCTGCACCATGACACCACCACTCAACACACCCTGTAACTCTTGAAGTCAAATCTCGTATACCCAAATACTTCTCTGCAGCTGCCACTACAACATCTATTTTCTGTGATTTATGTTCCATTTCTGTGGTACAGTTGATAACCATCGCTATGAACGCTAAGAAGCCAACCTTACTGAAGCATACATCACTCGTTGGTCTATCCCTCGGTGCTGGCACAGATCTACTACCTACAGCGATCCTCTCAGGATCTCTCACCCTTGACCCATCCTTCTCTACTTTCTTCTCTGCCTCAGCATACGACACCTTCTGCACTACTCTGACTCGTCACCTCAACCTGCCTCTCTTGCACCGGACACTTCCGATCACCAGCAACCCCTACAGTTTACACACATACACAAAAACTTTATCCACCTAAACTACACAATCATTTATCCCATGCCCTCTTGCACACTTGCCACATCTTGGAATCTCCCTCCTACAAACTACTGCAACATGGCCATAAACGCTGCACCTGAAACAGCGCAGTGTATTCGGCACGAAAGCTCTAACAGGATAACTAAAATATGACTAAAAACTCAAAAGGACTCACCACCGGTTCTGCGTCGCACCAAACGGCGGAATCACAAACACCAGGAATTTTCACCTTCATTTGCTCCACCTCCACAGTCAACGCTACCCCAGAAATCACTCCTTTCAATGGTGCTCTCTGTTCCTAAGAGCAAAGTAAGAAACAGATCTAGACCCAAGTTGCGTGACACAGAGCATCTGCTCCCTCTGGTCAGAAGAAACACAAACAAATATCACAAGTCCACTACAGGTTACCTTCACTGGATTCAACTGCACCCAACTCCTATCTGTGACAGCATGGGCATCGCCCTTGAGGCTACAACCCATAGGAATCCCCACTTAGTTGACCTACTTTGACTACTTTAAAAATGGCGGAAGCATGGTGGAAGCCCTCAATAGCCCTGCCCCTGCACATGCTAAAACATCACATGCTTAGTAAACAACAGGTGTGGACTAGCAGTCACATGCTTAAGTACGGGCCTTTCCCAACAATGCAGAGAGAAAGAAAATAGAGAAATAATAAAAGTCATAATAAATACACAATGAGTAACGATAACTTGGCTATATACAAAGGGGAACCAGTACTGAGTTGATGTGCAGGGGTACGAGGTCATTGAGGTAGATATGTACATATAACTAGGAATATAGTGACAGATAGTAAACAGCAGCAGCAGAGTATATGATGAGTCAACAGAGTTTGTGCAAAAAGGGTCAATGCAGAGAGTCCAGGTAGCTATTGGTTAACTATTTAACTACCTATTTAGCGTCTTATGGGATGGGGGTAGAAGCTGTTCATGGTCTTGTTGGTTCCAGACTTGGTGCATCGGTACCGCTTGCCATGCGGTTGCAGAGAGAACAGTATATGAGGTCCTGGATGGCAGGGAGCTCAGCTCCACTGATGTACTGGGCCGTACTCATTACCATCTGTAGCGCCTTGCGGTCGGATGCCAAGCAGTTGCCATACCAAGCGGTGATGCAGCCAGTCAAGACGCTCTCAATGGTGCAGCTGTATAATGTTTTGAGGATCTGAGGATCTACTGGTATCAATTACTCCAGCCACCCAAGTCATAGACTGTTGTCTTTGCTACCACACGGCAAGCGGTACCGATGCACGAAGTCTGGAACCAACAGCACCCTGAACATCTCTTTTGACTCATCACATACGCTGCTGCTACTGTTAATTGTCTATCCTGTTGCCTAGTCACTTTAACCCTGCCTATATGTACACATCTACCTCAATTACCTCGCACCCCTGCACATCGACTCGCTACTGGTACCCTGTGTTTATAGCAAAGTTACCATTCATTTATTTATTGTGTTATTATTTTTCTCTGTCTCTTTTTTTTTCTCTCTCTGCATTGTGGGAAGGGCCCGTCAGTAAGCATTTCACTGTTAGTGTACACCTGTTGTTTACCAAGCATGTGATGAGTGTGGCTGTCAGTAATCCAATTCATACACAGTACCTATGAACCATCTCCTGCACCTCCTCTCTGTCTCCTGTCTCAGTCATTAAATCAATACTGTAAAAGTGCTGTCTGCAGCAGAGCGGTGGGAGCTAAAAAGGTCAGCAGAGAAAAATGACCCTGGCTTTAAGTGCTGTCTACCATCTAAAATAGTATTTATCCTTGAAGTGAGTCGCCTAGACTGCTAATGAGTTCTTGTGTTGGGTTGTTAGGTGGCGGTGTCACTAGCAACGGTCATCGAAATTGTTAAAAAGGTTTTTAAAAACAATTATAATGCAACAGTTGGACAATGGATGAAGATACTCCAAACTTTTATAATTTTTTATAATCCATCAGATATTGACCGAATTATAGCATATAAAGCATTTTATTGGTTTAGGCAAATAATGAATGGAATTCCGAGATTTTGGTGGGAATTCAGGTATTACAGTGGGGAAAAAAAGTATTTAGTCAGCCACCAATTTCTCCCACTTAAGTTCTCCCACTTCAAAAGATGAGAGAGGCCTGTCATTTTCATCATAGGTACACGTCATCTATGACACACAAAATGAGAAAAAAAAATCCAGAAAATCACATTGTAGGATTTTTTATGAATTTATTTGCAAATTATGGTGGAAAATAATAATGGTGGAAATAAATTTGCGGGGCTCAGTGGCGACCCGTCATTCAGGGCAGGTTGGGCAGAGCCAAAAAACAACAACAACAAAAAAAAATGTTTTGGGGGGGGTTGCCTTTTATTTTGACATTAATATGTGTCACATATCAGTTTGCAAACAATGTAAAAAAAAATAAAAATAATGTATTGAGTCAATAAAGCTGTATACAAACAATCTATTTTTTGCTTTCTTGAGTAAGGCAGCTCCAAAATGCAGGTGTTTCAGCCTAGCTCAGTGCTTTCTGTGGTGGTGGGGCAGCCAGCAGAAAATACGGAGCGTAGGGGTTGGTAATGTTCTCTAGTTGGGCTGTGATTGGCTCAGTGTTCTGTCACTCATGGGGACACTACGTCAAAATCTATGGGGAGAGATCGAATATTCAAGCCCCTTGGGTGTTGCCATAGAGTTACATTAGAAGTGTCCATCCAAGAAGGCTCAAGGTCATTGGCCACAGATAAAATGCTGTCAAATCACGTTATGTCTAGAGTAGCTTTGATTGGACTGATCATGTCAACATCATACTTTCAAAATCTTAGCTAGCAAGCTAGCAGTCATCGTCATGAATCAAGTAGACAATCTACTGGCAAATCCTTTTCAATCCTTGTCATATGAAGAGAAATTATAGTTAAAACGTATCAGTGCTCATAAACATTACACAACAAGTTGGAAATCGCAAATTCAACAATGAGTGGTTTGGAAGGAATCAATGTCTAACTGCAAGCATCGCAAAGCAATCACTAGCCTGCTATTCAGTGGAGTGGGTGTGTGGTCCAAGTCTGGGTTTAAGGGTCTCTTTTCCAAGCTTAAAAGGATAGACATAAAATACAATTTCATTTGTCACATGCATCGGATACCACAGGTGTAGACCTTACCGTGTAATGCTTACTGACAAGCCCTTAACCAACAATGCAGTTCAAGAAATAGAGTTAAGAAAATATTTACTAAATAAACTAAAAGTAAAAAACAAAACAAAAAAAGTTACACAATAAAAAAACAATATTGAGGCTATATACAGGGGGTACCGGTACCGAGTCAATGTGCGGGGGTACAGGTTAGTTGAGATAATTTGTACATGTAGGTAGGGGTAAAGTGACTATGCATAGATAATAGCTTTGTGGGCACTATGTTGTTGAACGCTGAGCTGTAGTCAATGAACAGCATTCTCACATAGGTGTTCCTTTTGTCCAGGTGGGAAAGGGCAGTGTCGTAGCCGGCCGCGACCGGGAGACCCATGGGGCGGCGCACAATTGGCTCAGCGTCGTCCAGGGTAGGGGAGGGAATGGCCGGCAGGGATGTAGCTCAGTTGGTAGAGGATGGCGTTTGCAACGCCAGGGTTGTGGGTTTGATTCCCACCGGGGGCCAGTATGAAAAATACAAAAAAATAATGTATGCACTCATTAACTGTAAGTCGCTCTGGATAAGAGCGTCTGCTAAATGACTAAAATGTAAATGTAAATGGAGTGCGATTGAGATTGCGTCATCTGTGGATCTGTTGGGGTGGTATGCGAATTGGAGTGGGTCTAGGGTTTCCGGGATGATGGTGTTGATGTGAGCCATGACCAGCCTTTCAAAGCACTTGATGGCTACTGACATGAGTGCTACGGGGCGGTAGTCATTTAGGCAGGTTACCTTCGCTTGGACTTTCTCCTTGAAACATGTAGGTATTACAGACTCGGTCAGGGAAAGGTTGAAAATGTCAGTGAAGACACTTGCCAGTTGGTCTGCGCATGCTGTGAGTACACGTGTTACGCGGAGTGGAACAGGGGAACCCAAGAGCAGACTCAGACGAGGAGACTGGGATGAAGTAACCAAGGTATTTATTGAAACACAGGGGGGAGATGGAGTGCAGGTCAGGGGGGACTGCTGGAAACCAGGTCCCTAGGCTGCGGCTAGAGCGAGGGGGGTTGAGACAGGGTGAGCAGGTCCGGAGGGGAATCCAAGGGAGTAGTAGAGTGGGGAATCCAGGACAGAGTAACAGGATGACGAGTTGTGGGTCTGGAGACAGGGACCAGAGTCGGAGAGGGCAGAACTGTAGCGGAGAGGAAAACAGACACAACATGATCTGAATAGTAACAAACGGCTAGAACCGTAGACTGACTGAGCAGAGATTACGATCTGGCA